ATATATATATATATATATATATATATATATATATATATATATATATATATATATATATATATATCAAAGCAGAATGTTTGACTTTGAATGTGCAGATAACAAACAGTACATGCTATTCACAGCATTTACAAACATTATCACATACCCAGTAGGTAATTGTAAAAAATTACAAACAGGAGTTCATATCTAAAATACAGACATTACAGAACCATGAATTACATATAAGGATATACAGTAGCATGATATTATGTAACTACAAGCATAATACACTTACTTGGATAGCTGTGCTTCTGCAAAAGCCACCAACACATCACAGGTGGACAGACTTGCAACAATCTTGAATGGCTGACACCAAACTTAGAGTCTACAGAGGACTTTCCCTTTTTATCTTTTATGGTCAGGACTAACTTATGTTCTTTGGCAAGTTTGGGCAAAATATGGCATGACCACATACTTCAGGTTTTTAACCCCTACTCTAATGATAAAAGCTTCTATCAGCAATGAATATGTCCCAGTTGAGCTGGCTGACAGTACAACTACAACTAGGACAACAATGATACAGGCCAGACCACATCCTAAAGAAGGGTGAAGCCACAGTGATGGCAGGTGAGGCTGGAGAAGGGACAGCCCAGCTGGGTGCTCAGCAGGCCGAGGAAGGGACATCACTGCCCGGGCTGACCACGGCACAGCAGGGGGTGTCACTCAGCAGGAAGGGGAGGGGACTACAGGTGAACCAACACAGCACCAGGACAGGACAACACAGCAGGCAGGGGGGGCCTGAACACAGCACTGATGAGGTGGGCAACAGGGACAACAGGGAGGACAGCAGACTGGGACAACATGGCTCCTCCCACTCCTATCACCTTCCAGATCGTTATGGTTTCTGTGTTAATCCCCTGAGTAGACTGAACAGTGATGAACTTGATGAAGTTGGTATGCACACTGTGATCTCAAATAATAATGGTATAGACTCATCATGTATATATTGCTCAGTGTCACCTTTGGCACTAGTTTGGACAACCTGTATTGTCAGTTTGTAACTCCACGATACACTATTAAAGGGCAGTGTTGCACATGCTCAGGGTTTCAAATATGATGCATGATATGAACTGACAGATAACTGACTTCAATACAGATTAGCAATCACACAATGGCAGCCTTAGAAGTGAGTGCCGACAGTCTGCATAGTACTGTATTCCACAGCCTCAGCCACAACTCTTAATAGCGGAGACCGTTCTCGGAGAGGGGGGTCCAACGGGCACACGCCAAAGCTACCCCTCGTACCTCTCCCTAGCTAGCTTTCGCTACTAGGCTCGGCCTTTCTCCGCCCCGACAGGACACGCTCTCGGTCGTGACGGCACAGTAACCCCTGCCATTCCTGGTTGGGCCACTGATCTCTACAAGAAGGGCTTACAATACTGTCTTTATGGTCACTCAAACTGTGCAGAACTTTCAGTGAGTTCATTTGGGGTCTCTATTAGAGCGGTGACAGGGTAGGGTTTGAACCTGGAACCTCTTGGTTCTGAGCCGAACATGCTACCGCGTATACCGCTACGCCACACGACCCCACAAGTTCTCTCCAGCATTTCGCCATAATTGGATGCAAACTACTACACATGGCTGCAAAGATCAGTTACACTTTTTCCAACCTTGTATTGTGCACTCTAGCAGCCCCTCTCTAAGGGCTGACTGTGTTGTCAAGACAGAATGTTCTGTCAAACCATGAGCCTGTCCATGTCTTACACCCCTCCTACATGCCCCAGTGCTTCTCAGTGAAATGGTGGAATCACCTGTACAGCCAATGTAGGACTGTGCATATGACATGATAGGTCTATATTATATTGTTTCAGTTCACACTGTCCAAGCCAACTTCATCAAGTCCATCACTGTTCAGTCTACTCAGGGGATTAACACAGAAACCATAACGATCTGGAAGGTGACAGGAGTGGGAGGAGCCATGTTGTCCCAGTCTGCTGTCCTCCCTGTTGTCCCTGTTGCCCACCTCAGCAGTGTTGTGTTCAGCCCCCCCTTCCTGCTGTGTTGTCCTGTCCTGGTGATGTGTTGGTTCACCTGTAGTCCCCTCCTCTCCCTGCTGAGTGACACCCCCTGCTGTGCTGTGGTCGGCCCGGGCAGTGATGTTGCCTGGCCGTGTCCCTTCCTCGGCCTGCTGAGCACCCAGCTGGGCTGTCCCTTCTCCAGCCTCACCTGCCATCACTGCGGATTCACCCTTCTTCAGGGATGTGGGATGGTTTTCACCATTGTCATCCTCAGACTGGGATGTACTGTCAGCCAGCTCAACTGGGACATCTTTGTCACTAGCTACTTGACTAGCCTACCTAAAGCAGAAGGGGTACTATAATTACAATGGGGGCAGGAGGACTACCATCCATCTAATACTACTGCCCTGAGTAGCACTATATTTGTACTTGCTAGCTTTTTTATGGTGACAAACCTTTGGAAATAATCATCAATAGCTTCTAGAGAGTGATGTCTCTGATGGGTTTTCTTCATTTTCTTCTGTATGGAGAAAGTTGAATTTCAGTTAACTACAAGTACAAACCACCTTTTTTTGGCTTATGTTTTATCTTTTATGCTTTTCTTACGAATTCATACGACAGTATGATGCTTGAGAAACATAAAGAAAGTAATGCAATGATAAACAAGCAATGCTAGCCTAGACTGTTGTGTGTTTTGCCACGTCTCTGTTTTCATAGTTGTCTGGAACGTGACTTGTTCTAAAGTGATGCACACTTGAGAGTGATTAGCTAATAAACAACTGATTAAGACAACGGTCCTTTGTCTCTCATGATGTATTGTACTAGGTGATGACATACTTATAAGCTTTATGTCTTTGATTTGTAATGTAGGAGATAATCTACTTCATACAAACAGAGCTTTGGCTTAACATATGGTATGAATCACAAATTACCCAAGAAATACCACAAATTACCCAAGAAATAGAACTACATTGTAAAAGCAATTTTTACCTGATAGTCTTGAGAATAGATGCTCATCAATGTATGTAAGGAAACTCTGCAGAGAGAAAAGTACAAACTGAATCATGATAATGATCAGTATACAAGGTTGTAATCTGATGAACCATGTAATCTATACCTGGTATATACATGTCAAGTAGCTATTGACATGTAAACAAGCTAAGTGCACTAGTATTACTAAGTGCAAATTATCTAGTATTATCCTCTAATTTGCATAATTGACATATGATAATGACAGGACCTGTATCTTCTGTCAGTGATTATTAATCGTCACATTTCTAAAGATTGCGATTATCTTGTCACTGATACCAAAAAATTCATGATGATGATGATGACGAATAAAACAGTTTTCTCGCAAAAAAAATCTGGGACTCGTGAGTTTCCATTTAAAAAGCGACGTCACCTGTAGTGTTGGGCTATTCCGGTAAATTCTTCACGCTCCCTGCCCTGCAGCCGCTTCAGAATTTCCTTGTATACTGCCAGCTTCATTTCTAGCTAAGTATGTCCCTTTTACGCTATATTGCAATATTTCAAAACACACGAATATTGATGCATGTGAAGAAATGCCTTCAAAAATGGCGGCCACCGCTGTCGCATATACCATAGGGGTACAGGGGGAGTTATGATATGTTCATTTTCCTCAATCCTATGAAACGATACGTAATCTATATATTTATGAAATGATAATACAAATTATAGATATAAATACCGAAACCTATAAGTAATGTTTCAAATTATGGTCTTTAAAATGTAGAAAAATGAAATACACTAAATATGTTTTTCTCTTGATAATGGTTTTGTCTGACCACGATGCACGCTGGGAATTTTCATCAACCAATGAGAGCCCAGCTTGGCGCGCCTTTCAAAGAGCTGTCGGCCATTTTATCCAGAAAATGTGTGAATTTGGTTGTCTGAATTCCTTTGTTTTACTCATCAGTGGGACGACCTTGTTGTTATGAGTCTCACAAATTTCTATTCTATGACGAAAAGAACGCACACCAGTCGTCAGAAGACGCCCAAGTCCCGCAGAAAACGCTCGGCGATCGATGGTAGGTTTTGTTTTTCGCCAAGTCGAATGATTTATGTCTGGCGCGCAACCGCTTTATTTTTGTTCAACATTCTACAAGATGTGGACTCGTTTTTGTTGTGTATATCACTCAATCCAGACTTTGTTTTAGATTTATACAGTTGTGTGGGTGAAAATACGCACTCGTGACATGTAAATTTATATGGACGATCTCGGCGGTGGCATTAGGGGTCATAGGGGCGTTACTGAAAATGCCCCCCTCCCCCTCCACGTTTTTTTAATCCCCTGCTTGTACTGATGTTGTTGGCATTGTTTCATATTTTAGCCACGTCCCCTTACTTGAAATCGCCAAACTGACCATGTCTAGCTTTGCCACTTTTACTACAGATTACTTAGGAATATTTTTGAAGTCCATGCTGGGCTTTGGACCTTGGACATCAACTACTGGCAACCTGTGTCAAATCTCACTCTAGTCTAGTGTTATGCAGGTACCGCCCAAAATTATGATTGTAATTCCAGCTGGAGCAAAGGGGTCAAATACACATCCTTTGATCTGTAACAAACTCTCAACAGCAACAGTGAACAGTACTTCAGTCAATGCCTTCAAGACCAAACTGGCTGTGGAATGGAAACACCACCCAGACCATTACGGCTACATCTTCTCATACTGAACTGTCGTAACTACATGGACGATCTCATTACCCTGGGAAACGGTACCGACTGACCTGGATTCAGGTGAACGTTCAGACGAATATGTTGTTATTTTGTCCTGTAGGTGACAGGTCTCCCCTGCACCTGCGGTCCCCAGGCATGTTGGGTAGCCAGGTCATGACCCTGTCTCAGAGTGAGTCGGAGCCTGAGGTGAGATGGGACAACAACTCCCCCTCCCCACGCCGCATCATGCAGCTCAGTAAGTACTGCTCTCATCGGCTCTCAACAGGTAGATGTGCAAGGGTTAGGGGTTACAGGTTACTTGGTGTAATATAACCAGCTTCTGCCATGTCAAGTGCCTGCAAAGCTGGGTGTTACCCTGCAAAGGATGGTCATTACGACTACACAAAATTTACAGATCTTTTCATGATTTGAATGTCATGTATCAGATGCAATATAGCTGGCATGACAGGAGTAACATCAGATGGTAGTTGCTGTTACCGAAAATTCAAATAAGATGATGATTGTATAGAAATTTCTAGCCAGAAACACATTGAGTCACACTACTAGTGAAATTGAGAATTACATGTAAATGTTTTGTTTTTGTCCATGTCTACGTACAGCACGACTGAAACCAAATGGACCAGGTGCAGACCTGTCTGACATTGTGAAGAGGCTGGCATGTGGGGTGAGTACAAATATTTACTTCTTTTCAGGAGGAAGACTGTCACTAAAACAGCATTCTTACTGGGAAATGTTGACACAGTCTTTCTAAGCCTGAGTTATTGCTACCGCATATTGCAACTGTGCTTCTCTTTCCAGGATGATGAGATCTCGCCCTCCCCACCTATGCTGGGACTCTGGATGGACAAAACTGGGCCTAACAGCTGTGTGCAGACGACCATAGTCAGCCCTGTCAGGCCTCCGGTCAGGAGAACAAGGTCAGTGGTGCAGGCATGCAAAAGTTGGACAGGATAGTACCAGTGTACTCCACCAATTAGTGATTCTGAGAGTCTGCATATGAAGCATAACAAAAATGGTGTCAAAAAATTGATTCAATGCTCTATCACTGCATAAAAATTCAAGTAACACTAGAAACTTGACTGTTCATCCAATAACAGATTGAAATGTAGGGCTTTCAAAAGTTCTTGATGACCAGACAATATTTCATATGGATTTCGTATGTCATGAACTAAACCTTGCTAACTGCCTCTGCAGGAGAAGACGTGTTGGAGGCCTGTCAGCTGAAGCAGAGGAGGAGCTGCGCAGGTTGGCAGCAGGGCTCAACAACCCAGTCAGGACCACATGTGGTGAGATGATCATGTGTAATTGAAATATATTCTAAATGTTGTTCTGAAGTTACACTTGTTTCCACACCATTTTATTTATTTAGTTATCTTTTGGAGTCTTTGATGGTTTCAATTTACATATCATGACTTACTCTTTCTATATATAAATTAATTATGTTCAACACTATACAATACTTCAATGGAAATGGGAATGTAGACTATTTGATGTTTATTGTATTGTGTTAGATAACTTAGAAAGTACAGTGTACCAAAGAAATTGCATTGTCATGATACCATCACAATACTATTCTTATAATAAATATGCTAACAGCATTTGGTTATGTTTTGTGTAGAAAATGGAAATGGTGAAGAACCACCAAAGGCCTCAGCCTCCTGCTGCACAGCCGACAGTGTTCCCATGACCCAGAGGATCTCCCAGGTTTCTTCAGAGGGAGGTGACATCCCAGAGTCCTTCACTCTGTTTGACGAGCCCACCCAGCACACGGACAGCTCCAGCCAGAGATCAGAGACCAGGCCATCCCAGGTTTCATCACAAGTCACAGAGATGGACAACAAGGAGGTGGAGCACAGCGACGCAAACACAGAGGACAGTCTGCTCGCGCTCTGGGAGGACGATGACCTTTTTGAAAATGACTCGTTTGTGAGAATCGCTACCCAGATTCCCGCTGGTGTTGAGCCAGACTTCAAGAGCCCACCCAGGTCAAGCAAGAGGAAGAGCCTGGCAACAAGCACGCCTCTGCCTACTAAACACGCTAGATATGACACTACTGTAAGGGAAACATCAAAAGCAGCGGTGGGACAACACAGGAGGCCTGCAGGAAAGTGTTCAGCGACAGAGGAAAGTTTGAGAAGCCATCAAGGAGTACAACATGGTTGTATGACAGGAATGACCCTTCTGAAGGAGAAGGGGAGGGAGGAGGATTTCAGACTGAAGAAAGACTGTAGGACTATTCCGGGTGTGACAGAGTCGTATGAATCTGTGGTGGGCCTGAGAGACAGGTGTGAAAGTACAGGGCACAGAGCAACGGGACCGTACAGCAGACCAAAACAAGCACAGGACAACAGCAAAACAGCCATGGTTACAAGGTCTAATACACACAGGTTTAGAAATGGGACGACGGCACAAGTACAGGTTCAAAACAACAACAAGCCTTGCACTGACTCGTCTGGCAAGTATAACTTCAAGCCGTCACACAGGCCTGGGGGCAAAGGTGCAAATGTTGACCATAAAGTGCCAGGCAGGATGAACAATAGCAATAACTGGAGTACCACAAGTGGTAATTGTAACCCTGCAACCAGTGAGTTGAGAAAAAACAATGTTGCACAGTCTGTATCCAGGCAAGTTGTGAATGTCCCCGCAACCACGCTTGTAGTACAAGATGTGGTTTCAAAAGACGCAGATCTGTGTGACACGAGCATTCCTGACGATGTCCTGCTGTCCCTGGCAGAACCTGATGACTTCTTCGATGAGTCGGGTACGTCCAGCACATCCAGTAACTTCCCAACACAGCTGCTGCCGTCTCCCAAGACAGTGCCAGCGGCACCCCCGTCCAAGCAGTCAGACTTCCCGACTAGTAAGGGGAACGCACAGAACACCACTGCCAGCTGTACGTCCACCTATGGAACCCAGAACAAGTACCGTTTTACCAAGCTGCGTCCGGGTGTCACAGCCCAGGCTACCTGTACCAGCACCACAGCCTCTACTACAGCCAGGAACAATGACATGACTAGGACTAGGAGTACCTTTGCAAGCTCCACTACCTCTGTGCCTGCTAGAAATGTGCATACAAGCTTCACTACCTCCGTGTCAACTAGAACTGTGCATACAAGTTCCACTTCCTCTGTGCAAGCTAAAACTATTCCTACAAGTATGACCAAGAAATGTGCGGGTGTGCCTGTAGCAACCACTGTGCCTTCAACGTCATCATCGGTGTCCAATGGTACAACGTACCGAAGTATGGGTAGGAAAGCTGTGAGTATGTCTGTAGTAACCACACTGCCTTCAACCAGGGCATCCAGCTCCACGGTGCAATCTAAGCCATACAGACAGACAGAGACTAGAGTTGGGTCTACTGTAGCAGGGTCCCTCCGAGGAGGCTCAGGGCTGCAGAGAGGCCGGAGTACCAGTGAGTGTGAGGTGACACTGCAGGACAGGGGAGGGCAGAAGGAGGACTTCCCTTCCGGTGATGATGATGATCTGCTGTTGCAAGCTGTGTTGTCACAGGAGGGAGTGCAGGGTAAGGCTGTGTAAGGATTAACTATGGCCTGGCATGGGACATGTAAGAATAGTTCATAGACATTGACTAGAACTTGGTAGAAGGTGAAGATATCTATGCAGTGTACATACATACAGTTAAGGTATCTCATTTGGCACACATTTTCTGACATGAATATTAATTGGAATTAGTTGGAAATTCATTATCAGATCATCGAGGACATCAGATGTCAACCTAAGAAGCTGTATGGATCCTAGATCAAGTTGTAAATTAATGGGCATTAAAGTTTCCTGTGTTGTATCAGAAGTTGACTGAGAAATGTGCAGACAACATGCTGATGGCTTTGTAGATATTCCCAGTTTTTGTGTGTTGTAAACTGACCAGCTTTATCCTGTGCCCCAGGCATGACCAAACCCCCTGTGACTGAGGACCCTCCCACCCAGTGTTCACCTGAAGAGATCGAGCGAAAGAAGCAGCAGGCCCTGGAGCGACGGAAGAAGAAACTCCAGCAGGGAGGAACACAGGTCCAGCCTCCCAGGAGGAACCCAGCCTCCTCCAGGCTGCAGAGGAGCAGGAGCTGCAACGTGCTGACCAGCCGCGGAGGTGCCCTGAACACGGGCTATAACGGGAGGAGACAGGAGCCCAGTGTCCATCTTATGTCACAGAGAAACACAAAGAGATAGGCACAGAATGCTATGGATGATTGTGGAAAAGCAGAAAGAGGTTGTAAACCTACAAGGGGTGTGACATGTGGCGATGTGCCCAGTGTCTATCAGAGAACACAGAGAGGTACATAATTATGCAATATCAGCTCCCAAAAAGCACCTGAGTGAACACAACAAGGATATGGGAGAAGAGAGCAGTGCCATAGTCCTGTCTTATGTTGGAAGAACTTGGTGCACATTCTTCCAAGATTTTACACATGCAGTAGGTAAACTACTGCTGTGCAACAGAGGTGTCTATCAGTATCAGCCTAACTACACAATGTGAGAAAACAAGAACAGTAGTGATCAGACATACATGCATAAACTTACCGATTGAAATGTGCAAAATGTCTATTTATTGCAATCTTCAAGCAAAGTGTGTGATGCAATAATGTCAGCCAATAGTCTTGTGTATGTCACATTAGTGCATGTCTGATACTGTATGTTGTGCAGCAATGTGAAAGGACACCAGTTTTATATGCCATGGACAGTATTCCTGGTCAGGACTGTAGCCTGAGATCAGGCCTTGTTCAATCAGATGCATCAGAAATGGGGTGATCGATTCATTGGAAAAGGGGGTAGGCTCCTGTATAGCTACCCTGTATTTTATCTATTGACTGAAAATTAATGAAAGATGGTGAGAAAACTGTAGAGAAAAGATGTACCTACCCAGTATCTTACTTGTAGGTAGTCAAAAGAAGGCACAGAAAAGTCTTAATCTCTTAATGATGAAGTTTGATACTTTTGATCAACACCAACAAATATAGCTCAAATTGTCTTTGTTTTACTTTTGCTAATTTTCAATCAGCCATTATTTTCATCAAAGTTGCAAAAGGCAAACATTTTGTAACTTTCTTTCAGACCAATAGATGAGTTGATAAGTAATGAAAACAGAAAAGTTGATGTGCTGTATATACTTGCTGTTTCCTAATCATAATCTTGGAAGGTACTACATGTGAAGAGTTTTATTGTCAGCATATACTAAAAGTTACTACAAATGTGTAAGAAATGATGGGGTTAGGATTAGTAGTGTAGCGAACGAGAAAGCATTGCTAATATCTTGGTAACATTTTGTCTATCTCTTCCTTCTTGAATGTCAGTTATCTGTATGGAAAGGGGAGCAGATTTTCCTACTTTTGCAATATGAAGACTTTATTTAGCTTTTTTTTCTTTTTGTCTACCAGGCTCTGTTACATATGTACTGTCTGTGAAGAGTGTACAATTTGAAATGTACAATAGTGTTGATCTAAAAAAAAGGATAGTTATGGCATTATACACTGTATATTAACGATGTCAATAAAATAAACAACTTCAAACCAAACCATCTGCAGTAGTCCATTTATTATGTGTAGTTATCAATTGCATTACCATACCTACAATCTTAGTATGGTCTCTTTGTCCTGTATTGAAATAGACCCTCTACCCTCGGTTAGGGTAGAGGAACTCTGACTGGACTGTATAGTTTGGCAAGCTTTTGGTAGCGTCCGGCTATAGAATATCAAATCAAAGTGCCCTTTGAGTTTCTTGAACATGACTTAACAAAATCTTCAAAGAACTTAGGAATACCCACTACTCGTTAAAGTTGTCAGGGGTAAAATCAAGAGAAACTAGATTTATCTTTGTTAACCAAACATCGCAGTCCCTCCCTCCAACATTTGGTCGCGTCTGTCCGGACTGTTGAATAGCCCACTGTCCGTGTCGCCGTGTGGGTAAACATGAACTTCACGTTCTGCCCGGAGCGATCAGTACACGATCACGGCCGCCTGCGGAATGGACAGTCCTGCTGACTTCACCACGGACAGTTCCGTGGACGTCGCCGCCGACGGCAGTAACGAGGACGGTAAGTCAACAGGTTCCATGTTCACGTTCATTCTGTCCCTTTATGAACGATATACACTATAGTGAAGATGTTATATTGATATGTGTATTTCGCCCTGTCATTCTTAGGGAAGTACTTGACTATGGACAGTCCTGCGGACTTCACCGCGGACCCAGGACTCTCTCACGACAGCGGCAATGAGGACGGTAAGCCGGCAGGTTCTGTGTTGACGTTCGTTCTGAAAATATCACTTTCTAAACGATGTACGGTGTAATCAATGTGTTATTGTTGTGCGTGTTTCGCCCTGTCATTCTTTTAGGGAAATACTTGACTATGGACCGTCCTGCGGACTTCACCGCCCAACCAGGGCCCGCTGACGACAGCGGCAATGAGGACGGTAAGACCGACTGGGTGCCATGTTGACGTTAAAGCTTTAATTCTGAAAATGTCACTTTATGAACGACATACGGTTTAGTCAATGTGTTATTGCTGTGCGCATTTCGCTCTGGCAATTGTTGGAAACTTTACATAAACTTTTTTGTTCAGAGAATGTACGAACTAACGTTAAATATATATTTAGAATGGCTGCTAACGAAAGTATACTGTAGAGGCACCATCATAACTTTCCAAGGAAGTTTACAACGTGTTTTGATTGAGTGAAAGTCTAGTTTCTATGTATAGTACAATGTCAATGATAGGAGTCTGTGAAGATAGTTTGAAGTTCTGACGTTTGACATACAGATTTTCGATGCACAGCCACGGTTATACCATGAACATCTAATTGTTCGTAGCAATATTAGATATTTCAAACGATTGCGATGGACCAAAGAAGATTATCTGCCAATCGCAACCGCTACAGTACTGTAACAAGACTTGTATTGACGCTTGGGCGCCTTTCTGATCGATGAACAAACAACTCTTTTCAGACGGGTATGAGGCCTCTGTGCCAGCCGCGTCTCCCTGGGAACCGGAGAGGGACGACAAACTCGTACCGTCAGCGGAAGCAGACGAGGACTACGCCGTGTACCGGGCGTATGGCGACCAGCGGGCCGAGGAAAACACGTACGAGACTCCCGCGCCGCCCACCGCCGCCCCGGAGACCGGGGGAGCGGCCGCCGAGAGAAGGGCGAGGCCTGTCCGCATCCTGAGCTACCGTCTGGGCGGACTGGGCGGCAGGCGGCAGCGCAAGGACAGGGCCGACCTTCACGGGCTGCTCTGGAAGGCTGCCATCGTCATCTCCATCGGATGTAATGTCTGCGTCATCAGTCTCTTCCTGCATGACAAGGGTAGGCAAGGAGAGCGTTCTGTATTCATGGTGGCAGACAGATAGCCTCTACTAGGCTTGAGGGGTGTCTGGAAAGAGTAGAAATTGGCCAAATACGCAGATAACGTGCCAGGGGTGTTGGTCTGCTAAAAAATACAGTTTGCCTCAAAGACGAAAGGGTTTCGCTCCCGATATGGACAGCCTTATTAAATGTTAAGCAACTTAGTATACATAAGCACATGCAGTTTCCCACTCTTTCCAGTCGCTTCTGAAGCCTGGTTGACGCTAGTAGACAGATCCCGGAGTCCAGAAGGACTCGATGGAAAAGCATCACTACAACACGTTGAGCTAGTTTCCTTTCCACGGCTCACTGGAGTGCATTTGATTTGATGCGACCTTCTCCGTTGTCTTGTTCCCTAAGAAAGAAAGACGTATAACGTCATCAACAGTCCTTCATCATTGCTGTTTTCTTCGCAAACCTACTTGAAGACAGCTTTGAAACGGTTTGAAAGTTTTTTGCGTGTTTTCTCACTTTCAGCGATCCTGCCATCGACGCCAGTTGACAACACCCGTGTCCCTATATTGTCCGACGGAGTGTCAGACACGTATGCAGACTATGACGAGGATTCAAAACAACGAAGTCTGTCCGACAGCACGAAGTTCGAAGGTGAGATTTGTTTGCTGCTGGCAAACGACAGTTGGATGGAGTGTTTATGATGAATTTCTAAGTTTAGAAATGCACGTGCATGGTCCTCTTGTCCGTTGATATGTGATGAATTGATATAATCGCATTACATTATACATGACTGCATGGACTAAATGATATCAATATCAGGATTCAGTTTAAAAAAGTGGCCATTTAGTCACGGAAAGCAAAAACATTGTTGGTAGCTTCTATTATGAATGAGACTTTCTTATTGGCTTCTACTAAGTCACATTTTTTGGCTTGACTGACAAGGTAACAACAGTTCGGCAGGGAAGTTTTTACCCGTTGTTGTCCCGATGAGGCAGGACAGACCTGTAACAGAGTCAACAATGACTACCCTTCCTACTGGAGGCCAAGGTATGGGGACGTGATTGTTTCAATCCTAAACATCTACAAAAAAGTCCGATCCATTTCCAAAAGCGGCATCTGCAATGTAGATATATCTATCTCCGCCAGACTCCTTATTTGTAGGCTGAATAAATAGTAGAAATCGGCCTAAAAGGAATGTAACTGTCCAGGGGCGTTAGCCGGCCATAGAGGGTCCAATGTGCCTTCGTGCATGAAGTCTGATGGAGGCTATAACATGTATATGTTGCCGAGGTACTATTACTTCTTAGCGACGGAGGAGCTGTAGAACGTCTGACAAGATGACAAGGGCCCAACTATCACTCAATACCTCTCTTCCGATGCTTCACCAGGCTCCAAGCCCCGGGACTGCCTGGACATCCGTATGACGAGTTCAGGATGGCTCCCCAGCAGCGTGTACCTGGTGCACCCGCGGGACGGACTGGGACCCATCATGGTGTACTGTGACATGGACACGGACGGGGGAGGGTGGACGGTGAGTCCCCCGGATCTGGTTAACGGGGCCCGGTTACCCTTTAGTCAAGTCTTATTATTTCGTAGACATGATCATGTGTTATACATTATACTTGTTTGCACATTTAAGCTGCAGTTTCATTAAAAAGGGTAGCACAATGATAGTATGGTCAACGCTAGGTATAGCACCAGTACGTACTTGGGATGCGGTAGCATCCTTATAGCATAGGAATAGCATGTTCAGCACTAGGGACAGCACCCGTATCCCTATTAACAACATCGATAGCACAAGGATAGCATGTTCAGCACTAAGGACGGCACAATATAATCGTTAGCACGAGGATAGCACAAGGGACAGTACCAGTAACACTATAAACAGCACCCTTAGCATGAGGATAGCATGATCAGCACTAGGGACAGCACTTGTGATGTATTCGTCAATTGTTGACTTCAGGTTATCCAGAGACGGTACGACGGCTCCGTCGACTTTTCCCGAAGCTGGGCCGAGTACAAGCGAGGATTCCCGACGTACCTGAGCGGAGAGTTCTGGTTGGGTAACGACAACATCCACCGGCTGACCGTGCAGGTGTGTTCTGTAGGGTTGGCATGGAAACTCATCCACATGAAGATCAATTAATCCTTCTCGTTTGCCTCGCAAGTTCACCCAGCAGGGACCGGCATCTAGTCAATGCCTGCTTTCAAATGTTCTACCCCCTGTATTAATGCAATGGCTGTACCTGATTTTCAGCACCAAGGACAGATGCTTTGTTTTCCACTCTATCTCCCTCTATCTTCTGTTCCTTATGTAGCTCTCTCGTTCTCTTTCTCTCTCTGTATCTCTGTGTCTGTGTGTGCGTGCATGTCTGTGTCTATGAATTTGCTTCTTCTGGATTTGATTCTTCTGAATGTATTTGTGCTGTGGTAATTGTCACTGCAAACAAACATGCTTGAGTCTTTCGATGCACAAGTTTCGAGTTCCCCATCTAGCTACTTCGCAACTCTTGTTTCAGGATAGCTGTGAGCTTCGGGTGGACATGGAGTCGTTTGATGACGACACCCGTTACGCGGTGTACGAGCGGTTCTCTGTGGGGAGTGAGAGGGAACTCTACACGCTCAGCGTAGCTGGCTTCAGCGGCAACGTAACAGGTGAGAGACATAAGCAAGCTATTTCACGGAGGTATTGTTTTGGGTGTGTTTGCCTGTGTGTTAGCGTTATAGTTTAGTTACTTACGGTGCGTTTGTTCGTGTGTTATAGTAGAGTATAGTTGAGTGACAGCACGTTGGTGGGGGAATTACCTAACAGCAGATCACAAAAGGTCAGACACAGGAAGTTAGGTCCCAGAAGCTGGCTGGAAGCCAGCAGAAAGTTGGAACGGGAGTTTGTTGGCCGGGTACAAGTGGGAAAATTCTTTGAGACATAGGCAGGAAAATTGTCAGTGTGTGATGTATAAAACAATAAATTCACGAATTTCACAAGTTTAAAATCTCGATTTGTCTCTCATCAACTCTAGAGTATCTTTCCCCTGCACCCCTCCTTTATTCTCTAGCCTATTTCTTCAACATATCGCTAGTTATATTGTGAGGTTACCCCATTCGCCAGGTGACTCCCTCGGGAAGCATGACGGGTCTCCGTTCGCCACCGTGGACCAGGACTCGGAGTGGGGGTGCGCGCAGGCGTACCGGGGCGGGTGGTGGTACTACCGCTGCCACTCCGCCAGTCTGAACGGGCAGTACCTGCGGGGATACCACTCCTCCTGGGCGGACGGCATCCACTGGGACCTGTGGACCGGCATGAACCACTCCCTCCGCCGCACAGAGATGAAGATACGACCACACAGACGTTAAACACCTGCTAGCCTCTACCAGGCTTTAGAAGCGGCTGGAAAGAGTAGAAATTGGCCAAATAGACGGAAAACATATCGGAGGAGTTGGTCCACAAAAGAAGTACAGTTTACCGCTCCCGAAGTGTACTCCTTTTGCGGACGAACCCCCTGGCATATTATCTGTCTCTTTTGGCCAATCTCTACTCTTTCTAGCCGCTTCTAAAGCCTGGTAGAGACTAGGGTCCGGTCACGACATACATCCTTCGACCGCAAACCGCGGGCATTCCCTCGGGATAGTTGAACACGTGTGTCCTGTACAATTGGGGAAAATGCTGTGACAGTCTAACATCTTTTTCGGTGGCTGATTTTGTCACCACGTCACAGTCTGCTTATAAATTGAAGGGCATCAAAATTTCCTAAACTGAGCTATATCAGAAGACCGTGGATTGTTGAACTCCACGGCCGTGCTCTTCATCACTATAATGATGAACTCCACGGCCGTTGAGTTCATCGATATGGTGATGAACTCAACGGCGATTCCGTCACTAATAGCAGCGATTGGCCGTTGAGTTCATCGGTATGGTGATGAAATCAACGGCGATTCCGTCACTAATAGCGGCGATTGGCCGTTGAGTTCATCGATATGGTGATGAACTCAACGGCGATTCCGTCACTAATAGCGGCGATTGGCCGTTGAGTTCATCGATATAGTGATGAAATCAACGGCATTTCCGTCACTTATAGCAGCGATTGGCCGTTGAGTTCATCGATATGGTGATGAAATCGGCATGGCAACGGCGATTCCGTCACTAATAGCGGCGATTGGCCGTTGAGTTCATCGATATGGTGATGAACTCAACGGCGATTCCGTCACTAATAGCGGCGATTGGCCGTTGAGTTCATCGATATGTTGATGAAATCAATGGCGATTCCGTCCCTAATAGCGGCGATTGGCCGTTGAGTTCATCGATATGGTGATGAACTCAACGGCGATTCCGTCACTAATAGCAGCGATTGGCCGTTGAGTTCATCGGTATGGTGATGAAATCAACGGCGATTCCGTCACTAATAGCGGCGATTGGCCGTTGAGTTCATCGATATGGTGATGAACTCAACGGCGATTCCGTCACTAATAGCGGCGATTGGCCGTTGAGTTCATCGATATAGTGATGAAATCAACGGCAATTCCGTCACTTATAGCAGCGATTGGCCGTTGAGTTCATCGATATAGTGGTGAACTCAACGGCATTTCCGTCACTAATAGCGGCGATTGGCGGTTGAGTTCATCGATATAGTGATGAAATCAACGGCGATTCCGTCACTAATATAGTTTATCAATTCATACGGCATTTGTCTACACTCCAAGCAGAGGTAGGGTCGCACGGTATTTTGGCAGTATTTTTGCGTTTTCAATACGCCTTTCTAGCTACTTTTACGGTTTTTCTTTGGTCGGAGGAGTAATATTTGCGCAATTGCCACTTTGTACGACTTTTTCCTGCGCGGATGTCATCTGTCGAGTCACTTAAAATGACTATAATTTGTGAAATGAAACTTGGATGTCGATACTGATAGCAGTAAGATATGAATCGAAATAATGTTTGAATTTTGTATGAACTTGTATTGTACGCATTTATATTGTATTTCTATGACTGATTATTGTAACTGAACCGAAACATTAGACGCCGGTCTGGCCCACCTCCCCTTGAACTCTTGAAAAGCGGCTCAGGCCGAAGAGGTGTACTGTTACATACTGTACTTTTTCAAGGTTAAATAAGGGTTAAAAAAAGCAACTCCGTTGAAAAAGTGTAAAACTATATTTTCAGGGTCAAAATTTACATTTTTAATACTTACAGTGTCTACCTCAATTGAAGAGGCATGCAACTAATAATATGCCCAAAATTCTATGGGAAGACGGCTAGAAATCATTGTTCATCGATATGAGATTTTCGACATACTTCTCTTAGCGGAATTGTAGCACTCCGGCCTTACCTTAGGGTGTCCGACGGCTCAAGAAATCGTCTAGAAACTGTAAATCCGGTCCAACAGCCTTGAGTATGGTTCGCAATGCATGGCGGTATAGCATCAGTTGTTTAGAAGAACAATTCGAAAGTTTATTGCAAATTCATGCCCGAGGGCTAATTGCAAGAACATGATAACAACAGTAAACAGTAGAATGATAATAAGTGATGCTAATGCTACTTTATATATACATTTGTAGTTATTGTTGGGTTTGATTTCTTTTCCGTGTGCAGTGGAGTATGAAATGGCCGAACAATAGAAGTTGAACGGCGGCCATGTTTGTTCCCGTATAACAACAACATATAACATCACTGCCTATCTACGACTGCAACCATTTTAAAACATAAATACAAATACATTGTATGTAATTATGCAAGTTCTATTAAGCATGTGTTGAAGCCACGAAGAAATCGCTATAATCTCCAGCTTGACACTGCATCCGGTGTTGTGTTATTGGCGGGGAAACCTGGCGTCCCCACCGCCGCAAATCTTTCGGCTCGTAAGTCTGTAAAATTCATCAAAATTGAAAAAATAACTACCGAACACGGATATATAGTATGATGTGTAATCACTTAGAGTAACATACTCAGTAATTTTATCTTAGATTGAACCTAACTTGTCAGAGAGTTGTGATGGACTGTTACTTTTAAAATCGGATGTTAGTGAACTGATGAGGAACATGAACGTTGTAGCAAAAAGGAAATCAACGACACAAATAAGTCAAAAGTGGAACAAAACTGAATCATGAAAAAAGCAAACGTTATAACTAGAAACCAACGTAAAAATGAAAAACGGATTTTAAAAAATTATTCGGTGAACCAAGAAGCTTTTTTAATCTCCTTGGGTGAACGGTGTTTTTTAACCTCCTTGCTGGTGTTACCCAGCACGGTCTTAACCTTGATACTGACGATTTGAATATGAAAATAAAAACAAGAATGACAAGCTTTTGCCTTATACTACCTAAATCTGAAATAGAAATTAAAGCTGTCTGATTTCGTTATCTAAATCACCAAAGTCGTATAGACTACTACTGTAACACTCGGGTCTCGCGCCAAGCTGATATACTATAATGCATGACGGGATAGCGTCATTTTGTTTATGGTCGCCATCTTTTCAGCGTCCCGGCCGGACAAGTATGAAAATAACTTGATACTAGTACATGCAGGTTGGCCTGGGCACGTTGTGAGGACGCATGATTTGTGTTTACTGTTCAGGAGCCGGATATCAGCAAGACTAAACTTACGGTCTTTTATCGGTACCAAAAAAATCGTTATTCCAACAAGGCCTTGCAAAAGGATATCGTCATCATGATCAGCGCTACAGAACAAAGTACGCGTACGAAGATTAACAAAACTCGAAACGCAAACGGTATGATTAAAGAAACCCCTAGCCTCAGCTTGCTGGAAATGTATACATTGTATTTAAAGGAAAATATGGGTACATGGCAACCCACAACACATACGCAGGGATTGAATCTGAAATACCGAACAAGGTTTTTATTTTTGCTACAGCCGTAACACTCAAATCTCCCGCCTAGCGTCATTATAATGCATGACGGGATAGCGTCGTTTTGTTTATGTCAGCCATATTTGTCTACCCCGGTTCTAGTACTAGCGTCCTGAGTACTAGCATATATGAAAATAGGGGAATAGCCGGAAAGTCTAAGCCGCTCGCAAAGTCATTTATATAGCGTGAGGTTGACACACATCATTATGTTTTAATTTGAGGACGAACATTTTGTGTTGTCGTTACCAATTAGGCTATCAACACGACTGTCCGTATAATTATAAGACTTACTCGTAATTGCGTGCGTGTCTTCTTCGGACATTTTTTTGTACCGTAGTATAACAGGCTTTTTGTGCGTTCTACCGAGTTTCAATGATAATGAAGACCTTTATTGTACCAAGGAGTATTTAACCTCCTTGATTGTACAAACATACCCACTGGGTTAAGTATAAAGGTTAACTTGAATACACAACTATATACACAACAAGATCAATCTAGTACTAGCACTACAGTCTGTTACATAATTTCGACTTATTTTCGCTTCTCTGTGATGTTGATTGAGGATCGAGGGTTTGTCTAAGTTCATTAAAAATGTGAATTTGTCTGTATTACTTGTGTGTGTAAAGTGGGGAAACATCGATGTTATCCATCTATAAAGTTCAATTCTCGCACTGTTATACAAACTACATTCTACTACAATCCGCAGTTCCCACAATGCGGCGAGACAATTTCATAGTCCTTCTGACGAAGACAATGAGGTTACTATCTCAACAGGTTTTTTCTCATACATGAAGGACAGGTCTTTTGGTAGGCGACCACCCTTAGAGAAAACAATAATTTTTGTTTTCCTAAGGTTTACATTTAGCTTCCAAGTATGGCAGTATTGTTCTAATCTATTCAGGACAGATTGTAGTCCTTGTTTTGACTCAGAGAGAAGGACTAAATCATCTGCATATAATAAACATGGGACTAGCTTGTTGTACATGGTTGGTGAGTCACAAATATCATCATTGAACATAGATGTAATATCACTAAGAAATAAGTTAAATAAGGTCGGGCTTAAGGTGCATCCCTGTCGGACACCACAGTTCTGTTAGTCCATGACTATGTTTGACACAATTACATGTTTTAGCGTACATATCTCTTAAAGTTTCGAGGAATTTACCCCCTATAGTGGCTATACCAAGACTATTTAATTTGAATAGAAGGCCTTTTCTCCAGACAGAGTCAAAGGCTTTGCTAAAATCGACAAAACAAGCAAAAAGACGTGAATTTTTACTGAGGTACTTGCTAACTAATTGAAGACGCACTCGTGATTACATCGATCACTCGACGTTTTTAGAATTTTGCTTCAACCAGGCTAGGGGCGTTGTTTTGATTCTAGGCGGTTCAATCGAAAATTAATTGCACCTGTAGTACAACTGGTGAATTTCCCGTGCGACAAAAATGGTCCAATTCCCGTTTCTGTAATGTGGTGAAGTTCCCGTCTGTATATCGGCCGTGAAGTTCCCGTACGGCGTCCGCGGACGGACATTATTTGTCACTGCTGGTGAATTTCCCGTACGCGAAATGTCGACTAAAATGGTCCAATTCCCGTTTGTGTAATATGGAGTAGAAAGACTTATTGAAAAACGCCCAAATACTGCCAGAATACCGTGCAAGCCTACCTCTGCTTGAAGTGTAGACAAATGCCGTATGAATTAATGAACTATATTAGTGACGGAATCGCCGTTGAGTTCATCACTATATCGATGAACTCAACGGCCAATCGTCGCTATTAGTGACGGAATCGCCGTTGATTTCATCACTATATCGATGAACTCAACGGCCAATCGCCGCTATTAGTGACGGAATCGCCGTTGATTTCATCACCATACCGCTATTAGTGACGGAATCGCCGTTGATTTCATCACTATATCGATGAACTCAACGGCCAATCGCCGCTATTAGTGACGGAATCGCCGTTGAGTTCATCACCATATCGATGAACTCAACGGCCGTGGAGTTCATCATTATAGTGATGAAGAGCACGGCCGTGGAGTTCAACAATCCACGGTCTTCTGATATACCTGCTAAACTCGTTGATTGAAAAAAATTATGCCGTTTTGTCTAAAAGGCAATTCCTCATGCCACCAAGCTTTTAGTTTTAAGCCTTTGGATAGTGATTGTGTAGACGCATGGCGGAAGTGTTTTGTATCAGTGTCTTGTGATCTATATCAAACCCGCATACAACAACTTCCCATTTCTCTACATGCACATATGTTACCAGAATCAGTTCTGTTATGTATACTTTATAGTATATTCCATTCAAACCACTGATAATAGACATCCGGGCACAACGTTACTTTTGCGGAAGCTCTAATGACTGCCTTCATCTTTGATTACTTACCTACAAAGCAGCAGGCAGAGTTCAGTTAACGTTCATTTACCCTCAACCCTGATATTGCGGGCACGAGCTTCAGCTTTCGATATCTGTAACAGACATCCGGTGACAATTTTACTTCTGTAAACACCCTAATGATGTCCGGAGGCCGTGTACCTTCATCCATGATTACCGGTACTCACATATAATCACTACCTGTTGTCATTTTCACTCGTGCCTTCTGAACTAAAAGGAAGCAGGATGATGGAAACGAAACGTGAATCACCAGGTGACCACAGCTGATTATACGTTGTTTCTAACACGTGGACAATGCTTCCATCAATTCCCGTACATTTATAGCTTTGATGTCTTTCTGTCTACACAACCAGCGTCTGTAGCAATGTTGTATTGAATCATTACAATTGTGCAGCATCATGTAATATTCTCGTTCAGTAATTAAACAGCATCATATAATATTCTCGTTAAGTAATTAAACAACCTCACTAAGTTACAACCGAACATTTTGCCTCTAACTTCCAAATTTAATAAGGTGGCTTGTCGATCCTTTAATTAGTTTTTACTTAATATCCTGTATATTTCAATGTACTCAATCTATAGACTATGTGACAAACGTGGAGACTGTATAGCTGCAGTGCAATTCGTGACCTCCGTCCGTTAAAAACTGGTGACGAAGTATTTCTGTAATCGTCTTACGCTGACGAGCCGATTAGTACACCACATAAAGGCGTCCATTACCGGGGTTAAACATAGCCTCGGTTGCAGACCCCATCGGACGGTGTTTATTGTAACAACTAGGCGCCAGTTTCCTGACAGCTAAAAGGGCTCTGACCGCTCGCTGAGATCTAGTGAGCTGTCTATATCTTTGCCAACCGGTTAGAACCAGTGCACGGTAGCTCTCTAAAAACAGTGTGTCGTTTTGGGGGGAATTTTTGCCGGTGACGGTCTACTGCAGTGGAGGCTAGGTTAAACAAGCTGTATGGACGGCATCGAGATGTAGCTTTACGACTGGGACTTTTTGGATGGACTTGTACAATGCGCATTTCCTGTGGCCATATCACTTCTGTACTTGTGCCGGCCCAGGTGATATGAGAGAGGAGACGCGTACGTTTGCCAGAGGTTTAGTTTATTAGCAGTCTGGGCAAGAGTGGAAATACGAGTTACATGTCTGCCACATTTTGGGACACTTACGAATAATCACCCACCTCCGGTACAATATGTTCGGTGCGCAACGCACGCAACTTTATTCGAACCGTGTATGAAGACCTCTTGTTCTCTCACGGTGGTGTCTGGGTTAAACCGGCGAGACTTCAAGAAACAAAGGACTCTTTCCTGTAAGTCGTCACATTCTATCGTATTTTTTGTTTGTTTGTTTGTTTGTTTGTTTTTTGTTTATTTTATTAGGATCGCCATTAGTGTTACTCAGATGTCACACTATTCTTCCTTGAGTTCGCAAAAGTGGTGGTGTAAATCACCGTGTGGCTAATACGAGACGGGGGTTCGCCAGACCTCTATCCGAGCAGTGAATCACCAACTTGCAGGTACCAGTATTTGGAGATCTTTGGACCATCGCACTCTGGACCGGGGCGTTTGCTACCATGTCGTTCTACCAGTCGACGCGCGCGATCCTGATGGACAACGGTGAAGAGGAGGACAGGCAGCACCAGCGGGAGGTGCGACTGATAACTGTCGTGCTCACCATCCTGTCCTGTATCAGTATGGCCATAGGTGAGTCCCGCTAGGATTTCCTTTTTAAAGTACACATACATGTGGTCAAAGTAGTATACTGAGTATTAGTGGTGTCATGTGTCGTGGTGTGTAGATACTTTTGGCAGTGACTTTTGAATATTCTAAGATTCTGCTATATTTCTGAAGACTTCAATGCTACAAGCCTGTCACAGCTGGAAGGTACCGCACAGACAACCCAGCCCCATTTATTTGGTCCAAAAATGTATTTTCCTTGTTAAAACGTGGTAAATTTATATTTGGATGATTGTATTTCCTTTCTTGATCCCATTTTTGTACCTCGCGTACAAAAAAATTGTCTGCTAATAGTAAAAGAAATGGGATAACACCCCTACTGTGCCGTTAATTCACCAGAAGGAGATCATGAATTCTCCTTAGATTACAGCCTTGTCGTTCTGTGCTCCCCAGGTCTTGTGGTTCTCGCCCTGGGCCTGGTGATCCTGTCCGCCGAAGCGGGAGTCCTCTCCTACCTGAGCGGCTGCAACATGACTCTCGGTGTCGCGGTAAGTGGAAAAAAAACCCTCACAGTCCTTACCTTCAATCAATCAATCAATCAATCAATCAATTAATCAATCAATACCCTTTATTTATACTGGATATGCCATGTCGGCCTTAGCCGCTCTTACCAGAGGTCCAGTTGAGAGGGGGGGGGCGGGTGGACATGGGAACACAATAGATAAGTAAATAAAATTTAAATTAATACAAAAATGAATTACTAAATACCTAACATAATAATCATATCTTGTCCAAAATCACAATCCTTAGACCTTAGGTCCTCCTGTACCTACAGGCAGCTTCCATCTGAGTCTAGCGGTTGCTGCCTCCTCAGCCTCTTCCCAGGTTATGTTTGCCCTTTTGAGGTCCTCTTGAAAAGTTCTTTGCCAGGTCTTTCGCCACAGTCCATAGCTAGTCTCTACCGAAGAGTTGCTGGAAAGTTGTAGCGAATTGTGAGCATATACAATGTGTTCTCCTATGACCGGCTAATTCCCCTGGCATACTACTCAGTCTCTATGACCAAGTTCTGCTATTTTCAGGCAACCTATAATTGTTTTGGAGTCTGATATATTCCATGCATTTTCTCGTCTTGCGAAAGTCTTCTGCAAGACGCAGTTACTTTGCATTTCAACACAGACCCCCTAATCATTTCAAGAGTGTTAAAGAATGTTAGTTTTGTTGTTTATTTAATAGAGCAAAATAAGTCGTTTGGTTGTGACAACAATGAACAGACACAAGTTGGCGCATCCAGACAAAGTTTCTCTAAATTTCTGTTGTCTTGATTCTATTTCATTTTTTAATTCTACTTTTATCTCTGTGAAATTAATATTGCTTTTGTTGAAATAGAATGGTTAAGAATAGATTAATGATAATATTGGTTATGTATTTAAATATGCTTTATATGGAGAACCTAGAGCATGTATTACGATGTCCCCTACACCCCGTTTATTGATCTATAATCTTTTGATGGGTCTACATCAGTCAATCCCAAAAGACAATCAGTTAATAGGATTACTTACTTTTATATTTAGGTGTACAGACTGTTCTCCTGGGACAAGATTATCAGTAGAACAAATACAGTGATTTGGCAAATGTAGTAAAATTATCAGCTTCACTGAAATGCCCTCCTCATTACCGCTGTAAGAGCATTGTCCTGTAAATTCCTATACATGAGGTTTTTGTTTTTACCAACTGAATCACTGTTCAGTGTTTTGTTTCCATCTCTAACATTAGTGTTGTACATTGTATGATATTTTATATTTCCTGTTCCTGTCCAGATGTTCTTGGCAGGTCTGTTTGAGATCGTCTGCGCGTGCACGCGGAGAGCGACCGGTTGCATGGTAAGTTCACATTAAGTGTGACAGTTCGGACTTTTCAAACTTCATAGCACTTTTATAAAGGATTTGTGGATTACACCTTTTCTTAATAATGGTTTGTACAGTGCTTTTCCGTGGCAAATGTTTCTGTCCTGTCATTATTATTGTCTCTTTCGCACCTCACACTCCCAAGATCTTCTGCATCTGCATCTATGTACTCCCGTTAACGGTACTATAACTACCCTTGGCGTAACACACCAGCTTCACACACCAGCTGCACAGGCGCGACGGAAGCTGGCAGTATATTACACCGAACGACCTGTTACACCCAACCTCTGCACATCTAACTGCAGGCGGGGATGCCCCAACTGTAGCGGTGGCAGCGAATTCCACTCTACGATAGTAGATAGTTCTAGAAAAATCTGCCACGGTGAAAGGAGAGGGTTGGACTCCGCCTTCCGTGCCCTTGACGTCGACAAACCGCCCCTACGGCCCCAAAAGGCTATGTGACTAATAGCTACCTTCACATTTACCTTTTTATTTCCCAGATCTTCCTGTACGACATGTTTGCTGTAGTGTCCATCATCGCCGCCATCGTGGATATCGACACCATGCGGCGGTGGCTGCAGTACCAGGAGGGACCGCAGCATGCCGTGCCTGTGGCCGTAGAGTACACCTGTCTCATGTTGGCTGCGATAGGGTGAGTCAAAAAACTCTTGTTCGTCTGATACCTAATCTTGAAAGCTAATGTCGTTTTTTACGGATTTACGAAGCCCTCTACTAGTCCTCTACTGTTTTACTCCTCTTACCATGGGCCATAGTTATCGCAAAACTGTACTGGAGTTGGATTACATATAGCCAAGGTACAGTCTGCTTTTATAAGAACAAATCATGAAGAGAGAAAGAGTGATTATCTACATGACTGTCATATCTGACTGTCTCGTCCATGTGTCCTGCAGGTTTTGCCTGACGGCGGGGAGCTGTGTGCTGGTGTGCCGCGTCTCTCAGGAGCAGGAGCGGCTACTGTTCGAGGACACCTACGGCCTGGGGACGGACAAGTGAAGCACCTGCCACACATCATGAGCCGAAATATGGCCTCCCGAACACTGGCCGAACTTTCCTCAACCATGGTTAGGAAAAGGTCGAGTGCCAGGTTAGTTGTGGTTAGCTGGTGTTTTGGGTACCAGGCTTTTGCCATACAAGCTAGCACTTCGGCTCCAAGGCCAATATGTCCCCATGGAAATTTTACCACAGACACCGTACCCCTCATTTAGACCCTGAGCAACAGTCTGGCTGACTAGCGGGCCTGTGTACTGCCATAAGTCAGGTGTCCAGTCTAGTCAACAGGGGTGTTTACAGTATACCACACTGTGAATAATCATGGGCCCGGCTTGAGATCACTGTAGCCTTCCGATACATCGGTACGATATGAAGATACATGTATCTTAGGCCCAAAAGTCAGAGATACTGCCACCGTGAACGAGGGAGTTTAAAATCATCTTTATTCGGATGTACAAAAAGATGAATATATACAAAAAGAATGATTTAACAGTCATTTATCTATATCTAAACTTTTATTAAGGAGGGTACAATATAACTATTGTAGTTAAGTGTACTATTAGGGAGAAACAAAGCGTTCAGGCACAAACGATATGACTCGCACAACTGTGATCTAATTCATAGAGTTTTCAGCTAAGAGCAGCGTTTCTTCAAGCCCGATCTTGTACATTGCATATCAGTTCATATACAAACACCACATATAATTGTACGAATCCTGATAACAAATAAACTAACATTACTGTACAATACCTTTGTTAAAGGGGTCGAACAAGCATGATAATATCAATCTCAATGTTAACTAAGAATATGTACAGAGATATTTAAATAAGAAGCCATCAATCAGAAAAGGCGACAATATTATAATTGTAGCATTCAGCCTTATTGTTCTTATTGTCTTGTGTCATATACCAATTACTAGTACATTTTGTAGTTATTTATTAATGTTTGCCTCAACGGCGATCAACAAAACGCTACGAGTTAACAAAGATATATACATATATATATATATATACATAAACATGCCCACATTTCATAAACTTTGTGGATGTCTATATCTATATATATAGTGACGAGGTCAGCGTTTTTTCAGAGTATTGATGACACATAAGATGATACATTAGGAGAACTGTCTTTGCCCTTCTTGTTGGACGGAACGACCCCCGGTAGCGGGTAGTAGTTGGCGACGTCCGTGGGGTAGTACTTGAAGGTGACCATGCCCATGGGGTTGTCCGGTTTGCCGCAGCGCGACCGCCTCTTCCCGCTCCACTTCGGCTCCTCGGTCAGCTTCCACTTACAGAACATGAGCAGCCAGGCCATGGCGGGCTTCAGCACGGACATGGCGAGCTCCAGCCCGGGGCACTGGTGGTTCTCGGCGTTGGGAAGGAAGGTGAGCGGGCCCCGCCCGAAGATGAGGGACGACCGCGTCGCCTCGCTGCCGGGACACGCGAAGCGGTTCCGCCGGAACATGATGGGCACGCGGAAGGACGTGGGGTCCCGCCCGGCCCAGAAGGCGCTGCCGCACACCACCTCTCCCTCATGCACCTGGGGACAAATACGGGAAATGTGTAAAGTACTATTAATCCAGGACTCCCTGTTTCTACTAGAAACCTGTAGTCCTTGACTTCGAGCTTGATGTGAAACCTGAAGTCCTAGTAAAATTTTCAGCAATCGCAACTCCAATGCATAATGTTTACCTTCACATGGTCTTAGCCTAACAAACTACTGCCCTGTTTATTCTTACTTCTCTGCAACTTGTTACATAATGTACAGTACGAGGTGTCTGCTACAGCACCAGTTTCCATAGTGACAGCCGTCTGGTCCAGGTCATTGGCCTTATTTTTTTGGAGAAGAAGAAGAAACAGAGCGAAACAATACGTTTTCCTCCTGCGAAGGTAAACATAACAAGCTGTACCTGGAAGGTCTCCCTGTCTCGTGTCTTGACGACGAAGTCCTTGCGAGCCCGGCCGAAGAAGAGTTCGGTCGGCGGCCGGAGCCTGAGGACCTCCAGGATGAAACTCTCCACGCACCGCATGGAGCCCAGCATGGCCTCGGTGAACGTGCCGACGTGATGGAGAACCTGTCAAACACGTTACAGACATCAAATATAGGTACACGGACACTCACTTTGATATACTTGTTAACATGCTGACATTATGTAGAACGTGTCAAACACGTACAGCCGTCAGGCAAGTACATATTAGACACTCATCTTGAAATAGATACATATCAACATTCCGACACTATGTAGAACCCGTGCAACATGTCATAGCCTTAAGGTACACATACACACACAATGAATAGATACTAAACATCATAGAATGGATCCGGACGATGTTATTAGGATGAAAAGGTGAGAAATAACCGTATCATCATTATGATTCTTACGGTCACTTGCATTGCATTGACCCATTTTTCTCTTTTAATATGCAATCTACAAAATATTGGGCGTTTTTGCCCCCATTACACCATCACAATGTATAAAGTCTGCTTAACCGTCTCTAGTCTAGTGATCTGTAGTGTATCGCCGAACGACTTCTTGAAACACCAGGCTAACTCTGGACCTAGCATGCTGTGGGTCTGACATACAAGTTATGTGTGTCTCCGTCGTGGTTGAGTTGGACGCCGACCTGTCTGACAGGTGGGTCGGGCCGCATGCCGGGGAGGTAGTGACCGGTGGCACGCGCCACGCTGGCTGACTCTGAATGCCGCCGCAGCAGGTTGGAAGACTTTCTACCACAGGTCTTGTTGTGTACCGTAGTCTGTTCAGTTAAGATGAATTTTCCTCAGAGTGATACTCGTATATCACGACTGCCTTACCGTTTTACCGTACTGTAGTCTAGCAATGACCATTTCAACTTAAGCCTCCTTCGTTTGTAAGGGGCTGGTCGTAGTACCTTGTACCGTGATCGTCTGACGATCGCAAACTGAGGACATTTTTTTAAAATTATTCATTCACATAGAAAAAAGTACAAGACATGGTGGTACCGCACTCAAACTTATGTTCACGGCACCACTAAATAAATACATATAATAAAGAAAAAACAAACGCAACTTTAAGACAGGCAAAACAGTAAATACAGGAAATTTTTGGGTCATAGTCGTGCATATGTCTAACGAAATTCAACTGTCTCGTTACCAAAAAGCCTGTCTTAGATCGTCGGTGGTTGGTTCTGTCACAGCCTGCGTGAAAATTCTACAATACTGAACAGTACGACATTGACTTAAGTGAACAGGTAACCGGAGCGACTCGAAATTCCGCTATCCGATAAGGACTGTTTATAGTCCTTCCGTGCTATTCTTGGCTACTGTACTGCAATAATGGTCACCGAGGGCCTAGAGTACGCTAGAGGGTTTTTGGAATACGGTTGGCTAGAGCTGGAGCTCACCATGCAACCTGTCCGACCAAAGGAAAATGATAGAGATCTTTACATCGCAGCTGTCGTTATAATTGTATGAACAGACTTGGGCGGAGACCATTTAGACCACAAAATACCGAGATTGGATCAGTGTATTGTATACCGAGATTGGATCAACTCTGTATACCACACCTTCCTGTTGTTGTTTTTCAGTGTAGATGATTACTCATATAATTACTTCGGAAAATTGCACGAAAGACCCAAGTAATTGTCTCCATTGACGTACCTGGGGTTAAATGATCAACCAACCAACCAACCAACCAACCAACCAACCAACCAACCAACCAACCAATCAATCAAACACGTGTCATTGTGCCAACGTAGTAAGGTTTTATGAACGTTTTCACAGATAGATAGCTTTCGTTGAATGCCCATTGGCCTAAATCGTTTCTTATACATGCCTCGTCTCAGACAACGTCAAACTAGCCTGCAATGGGATGTGTTCTCTACACTTTGAGGAAAGAAGTACAGTATTATCATCTTATCCATCGGCATCTCCGACAGCAGACCAATAAGAATATTTCTTGATTCTTGCACTCACTGCTTGGCACAAGAATCAAGAAGAACTCAGTACTTATCCTCCGTCGAACGGTGACCTTTTGGTTCTTTTGTCACCACCCTTCGCCCTCGGGCCTGTTCAGCGAGCGTACAAAAAGGGGTCTGTCAAAGGAAATTAGCTATAATCTGACCCAATTAAAGACTAAAATGGGAACTGACCTGCGGCAGCAATGTCCACTACACTTCCACTAGCCCAAGGGAAGGTTTGAATTGTGTTAGAGAAGGAACAGGAAAGTGCATATAGAGGCTGTTGTTGCTAGGTTACCAGTACCAGTACAAGTGCTAGGCACAGGCGTGAGAAACAAGGTGTGATTTATATTATTGATTGATAATTACCTTGCTCATCTCCTCCCACATCTGCCGCCTGTCCAGATCCGGCATGGCGGCGTATGCAGCCAGGCAGGCCAGCAGCGGGTTCTGTATCTGCGGCAGGGCATGGCCGACGATCACGTACAGGAGTTCATGGGTAGCCTCCTCCTCCGTCAGTCCGCACGTCTTTCCCAGCTGCATGATCTCCTCGTAGGCAGGCGCGCTCCTGATGTTCGCGAGGAGTACAGGCAGGGCCTGGCGTGCCTGGGACTTGGCCCAGTACCGGGTGAGGGTCGGCACCCGAGGTCTGTGGGAGTGGAGTCCGTTCTGCCAGGCTCGAACGGACTCGTACGGGAGCGCGGCGCCGCCGCCCAGGATGATCTCCGACACGGCGTCCGCGCAGAACCGGTTGGCGCGGTCCTCGAAGTCGTAGATGTTGTGCCCGACGTCGGCCCAGGCGGACGTGTGTTTGTGAAGCTGTTCCACCAGCGCGGAGAACAGGCGTCCGCCGGTCAGGCTCCTCTGGATCACCGCCATCGAGAACTTCTTCCGCCTCGCGTGCTCGTCCCCGTTCGACAACATCCCCGGGCAGTGTCCGCCGAGCACCGCCGGGCGCAACACGGTGTTGCCGAGCGTGAACGGTACCTTCTCCACCAGGTCTACGTCGAACACGTACCGAATGTTGTTCTGGTCCAACAGACTGACGACGGGAACCCCGATGTTTCTCCGGAGCACCGTGGCGTCCGCCCCGCCGTAGTTGATCTCCTTCACGGAGTAGTTCCCCTCTCGGAGGGCCCGCCACATGCCGGCATAGTTGGAACAGCAGTTCCCCATGTCTTTTTACTACCAACAACAGCCTACCAGGACTGCGAAGACTAACTGTTCCCACCCAATGTAAAGTCTGGTCCTGTTGTATAACTCAGGTGTGCGCAAACTTTGTCAGGCACTGCCCGCGCAACTCGTCATACTAGTAATCTCCGGAACAAAACAGGCCGGTCCAGTGAGTCCGCGATTGGAATCGCCTGAAGTGACGGGAAAGACACCAGGAGTTGTTAACCAAATACTAGTAGGCTCAGTAAGCTCTAGTTCTTTTCTTGGCACTTCAATCAAGCCGTGCCGGAGCGCTTTCTGGCTGACTTCTCCTTGACAATCGTTCGTGGTTCCCCCAGGTTGTTTTTTGGCGATGTAATCGGTTACCAAAACAAAGTGTCTTAAGGGTACCCTCTCTTAAAGCTTGCCAAGGCAGTAATCACATGACCAAACAGTGGCTAACTACCGTGCGTAAGGTCGGTAGGAATTAGGAGAATAAGCTCACTGCAAACACGAAATCTTTACTTTCTCCCCAGCCCTCTAGCTGATTCTCAGGACATTTCTGACACAATTATCATTATGCAAAATGGAAAGGATCCCTGGAGAGTTCAAGACATAAAACACCCATTAAATCACTATCGTTACTAGTTTTAAAAGTTGCCTCCCTTGCCTTATTTATAGCCTGTACACCTACTAGTACATCATCGGACCGTTAACGTACGATGTTGCTAGGTGACCTATGTATAGGTACATTCACAACAGATGAGGTACATCGACAATTAGCATTCTTTCCAAATACACGTACATGTACAACATATACCGCCCTTTTGGGAAGGACATGGGTTATTTACAGCGCTGAAAAGAACGTTTGTCAAGTTTAACATTCCGGATGCTGGGAGGGAGTTCTTCACTCTGCACTTCGTCGTCTCTGGAACGTAATTTACAGTTGTAAAAAGATTAGAAACGCCTGATGTCAGCTCTCGTTGCGTCCGAAAGCACGTTCACCTAATCTCCAAGCAGATGTTTTGGCTGCAAGTATAAAACTGGCCAGGCAGTATCCATTTGCCCCGCCCCGGGGTGGGTGCCGGTAGAGGTTTGGCTGGCGTAAAAAAAAGAAACCAGTTAGAGAAGAAGCCCGATAAAATACGTCAAAAAGAAGCCGAAGCCTAAACCTCTGCTTGGAGAGTAACGTCCACCCACCTCCGATCACCTGTGATTACAAACAGTGATTTTCCTCATCTCCTAGGTAACCAACTCTTAATGGACAACGGCTGATGGACGTTAAGGTCACGAGGTGGGCGGGGATATCTGCTGTATGACGTACGCGTGCAGGTAGAGTTACCTGGCGCACAGGTGTGGACAGGTATGTGTGTTTGGTAGTTCGTTGGGACCTCTGTGTGTTAAAGAAAGGACCCTGTCGACTGTAATAAGACCATGAGCCCGATTTGCTGCGTCATTATCTTTTCCCCGATGACAGTCTTTGTGTGTAAGCGGTCAACGCTATGTCTGAGGAAACCCGACTGCATATTTGTGTGATCACTCGGTGACAGAGCTTACCGTGTGGGTTTCCTGTAGTTTATGCAGACACAATGTGGCTCTTGTCACGTTAAAGCACATATTCATCCTGAAAGTGCTGTATCCATAAGACTGAGTTTCTGGTTAAACCACGCCTACATGAAGTCTTACTTTTTGACTGTACGTACTCGTAACAGATTAACAGCTGAATGTGTTTCAAAAGACTGGACGAAATTGTACTAAATATTGTACGAGCGTCAGACTAGCGAGTCAGTGGAACGTGTCAGTTTGGGTGTCACAGTAAACAGCTCTGTGTGTTGTTATCCTCCGGAAAGTTTGGCTAAGTGCTCCGCATGGTTTGTCACCACTTGTCGCAGGTGGCAGGGTCGGGAAAATCTCCAAGCAGACGTTGGAAAGTATAATCGTCACGTTTTCTAGTTCTCTGGTTCCCAGGAAGGGCATTTCTAACAAAAAATACCACGATTTTGCCTTCCAACGTCTGCTTGTAGATTGAGACTCAACTCAACTCTACTGACAGCTGGTACGTAGTCTCCAACAGAGTCCTTTGCAGGCTAAATAAATGGTCTAATAAGGGATCTGGTAGAGACTAGCTGGTACGGCGTACTCTCGGAGAGTGGCGACAGAAGACGGGGCATATAGAAAAGTCACAATCGTCTCCACCAACATCTTCTTGGTGAGTAGGTACGGCGCACTGCACAGGTCCGCCCTTTCTATGACGACGGGGGTTCGCAGGTGGCACGCCAATATACTCACCTTTCTGGTCGATTTGAGACATCTGACAGACGACATTGTTGTGCACATGCCTCATCTCTAGGTAGTTATTTTACATGAGTGGTTACATCATCCGTAAACTGGGACACAGCAATTAAAAACGTCAGTGCTTGGAAACGGGGAGGCTCCCGTAAAAGTAAAGTAAAAATAGCTGTCGGTACACCTGATAGCCAAGTCCATCCGATATTCTCAATGCCAGGGGTGGTACAGGTAACCATTTGGTCATGGTGTTAGACACTGTTTTCCTATACTAGTTTACACAACTAGAGTGCCTATGATGAACTGTCTTTTGTGCTTTACAATAAAAGATGAAGAATAAAACTGTACGTATACCTGCGAGGGATACCTCGTCGAAATTCTGGAAGTAAGTTTCACGTAGAAGTTAGTTCTGCTCTGGGAAGTGACCACTGTTTGCCGGTTCGGTTCTTGTTGTTGCTCCTTCCTGTGCCGGCAGAATTTCCTCCAAGTGAACACTGGGACATGTGTTACTGGGTCATGTTGTATATCCGTTGCTACGGGCAGTAACAACTGCGTCGATGGTCCAGTCAGACCGCACTGCAAACTGAGTTTTTTTTCAACACTACCGCTCACCTTACCTGGCTAGGCTCTACTTCTATGGTGAAATGGACACAACAAATAGTTTGGTTTATTTACATTTTACCAAGAAAAGATCGAGCTCTCCTCTTACTGAGTTAAAGAGCTCCAGGCAGTCACACCGAGTCTTCGTCTTGTATTCTTGCGCCAGAGCATGTAGAAACATCGCGTGAGGTTCGGTGGTTGTGCTAAATTCCAGTCTCCCTGTGTCAGCGTTGGCAACGAAATTCAACAAACCGGGTGCTCTGTGTCATTGCCTGGGGAGATACATTACATTTTTGGAGCTTCCTCACTATCAGATACATGTACATGTATCACCCTGAACTTAATGGCGTAACCGTTGCTTATAGGACACTTACATTGAACTCGTAGTCCCAAGCCTAGGCAATTAAATGACATAAACAAATTCTGCAATAGAACAACAATTCGAAGGCATGCACCTGCTGTGTGTGATATTTGCCAAGTTGGCATTTCTGGCAAGCACACAAATCTGCGCACACAAATATGCACTTCTTAGTACTGGCACCAGGTGGCGCTATTTTACCAATCATAAGACGTCAGGGGAGCTTTTTGCCTAGACATTATGGTACATGTATCATGTAAGAAGTATTGATATCATGTGCTTTACAGTAGGTATTATTTCAGCCTTCAACGATTGAAGGCTGGGATGGCTAAAATTGTTCAAATGAGCTGCTACGTTATTATATAACTAGGAGGTTGGTTATAACCGGAAAAAAGAGCACCAAAAGTACTTCAGAATTGGAACTAGAACATAACAATTTTGTTTGCTCATTTTATTGTACACACCTTTGGATAAACACATTCATGTACAAAAGAATCTTTGTCTTCATGAGAAATCAAAATCTGAGGATCACACTACAAGGAAATGTATACACTGTTCACAAAACAATGTCTACTAACCAAAGACATCTACTAAACACAAACTATTCTTAGTTAAATCACAAAAACATTTACTATACTTCTGTCCTACTAAAGCTTCTATTTTACATATTTTGAAACAAATTGTCATCTTTGTAGCAAAATTATACAGTTTCAAATATATTTATAGGCAGATGCTGTATACATGTACATATCAGCTCTAAGTCAAACTCTGGATAAACTAAACATTGTCACTCTGTGGTACACTGTCTGGTGTGCTACTCATGCCATAAAGGTGTTTTCTTTCTGCACACAAGGCACCCAATATTTCTATGCCATACCTACATGTATCAGTAGTAATCAAAGAAATGTATTTTGCACTCAGATTGTTCTAGGTGGAGAAAGTTATTCGTGATAACAATCTTATATGATTGTGTGAATGATAAATGACAATGAATGTACAAAGTAACAGAAGACATCCTAACATAGAACTTTTCTTTCTTTTATGAATTTGTGACATATAGATTTTAAAAGACTATAGCACAACAAAGATGTACAGACATGATTTCATTCACACAGCCTTATGTATCACTTGTATTCGTATTCCTACAGTTAAAATATTTACCTCAAGAGAGAAAGTTAAACATATCAAAATTAATATTCAAAGAGAGTACATGTATAATATAACCTTAACTCTCATATTTACAATCTTAATTCTTATCAAAAGACATGTTCACTTTTACAGCTCCTTATGCTTCTTTATACTGTAAATTCATTTCTAAGTTTGCAGCTCTTAAAATTTGCGGCATGGTTAATATGAAGATTTTGCTGTATCTTCAGGTTTGCGGTTTACACTACCAGAGTAATGTAAGGCAAGACAGATCACAATTTATTGGTGTGATGAGTTTGGTGAGAGGTCACCTCAAAAACCATGAACATAAATAAACCATTTCATGATTTACATTTAACTGTGTGGGAGATACATGTTACAGTTACTGTATTGTACATCTGACAAGATTAGATCGGATAAAGTTAGATACCGGTATGCTTATATCAAAAGCATAAAAATCGAGTGGAACCATTAGGTAATATAATGTGGCAAATATAGTAACACCCTCCTTTTTTAGCACTGGAACACCAAACGGGGAAGTGGTCATGCAGCATGAACTGGGAAGAGGTCATGACAGTTTTAACCACTGAATCAGCACTGGAGTACTAGTGCAGAAGGCATCACTTTTGTATATTTGCCATTATAATGTGTAATCTGAAATATTTCATACTTTCGTGGCGAATTCGGTTTTTAAGCCTTCAGTTTGACTAACACTCCACTTGCTCAGCTTTAGTAGCTGTAGCTCCGCCCTCCATGTCATTCACCTGCTCAGCTGCCTGCTGATTGGCTCTCTGCCTCTCAGCCTCCGCCTCCCTTTCTGCTTCCTCCTGCTCCTCTTTGTCCTAACAGATTGTTAAAGGAATGCTGTTAGCTCCGAAAATAATTCCATCAGGTCAGTAGAACGTAGGAAATCTGTTGGGATTTCTTGTGCACAACCTCTAGCTGCAAGAGTGTCACCTACATTGGTTGCATATAGTGGCGAGAGGTAGCACTACCATCAGAGGCTCTGAGGAAGGTGTTTAATATGCATTGAAATGTAAGCAAGGTAAGACAAGTTGTGCGAAAGAAAATCCCAATATCCAACAATGTTAACTACCCATACTTCCAGAAATGCTATACAAGTAAGTACTAGTAAGGAGCGCTACAGTCTGGATAATAAAGGAAAATGTAGGAACACTCTGAAGACAGGTGCCTTCATGGCTTTTAGACGTGAATGACAACATGTATAAACATTTCTATCTATCTTTCAATACTAAATGAAGTATTTGAAGGAAAATATCCACTTTAATGTGTTAGATATGAAGACTGACCTGTCTCTGCATCCTTTCATACTCATCTATAGCGTACTGGTACTTGGGACTGGTGATGCCAAAAAACCAGGCCAGCTTCTCACCTAGGAAGTCACAAGCTACAGGAAATACAAGAAGGCACAGTGTCAGATTCTTCAGTACCACTACCTGGCTCTTCCTACACTAGCTGGTAGGGATCTACTTTAGTATTCTGGAGAGGGGATAGAGAATCAAGACATATTTTTTGGTGGTCAACATTGTCAGTCATCATATTTGTGTGGCCTTTGAACCCAGGTATAACCAAGATATGAAGTCCAAACATCTATTTACCATGTAGCAAGCAACATCATTGAAAATATAACACTTTTGTCATAAACTTTTGACTTCCCTTCAAGGGACTTACCTGCAAGTCCTCTGCTGGCAACGAAGGTGGTGTAAAACCACAGGTATGGGCCCCAGGTTAGAGTTTTCTGAAGGGGATGAAAAAAGATGAATGTTAATGTTATTATAGAGTTCACACTTTCCAGTGCTACTTAACACAACAACTTGACAAAAAATACCTTTCTTCTACTCTCATCTGCCAAATAAACATACGGGTACGTTTATTTTTTTGGGCCCAAACATCCACCCAGTACGTTCTTATTTTGCACAGTACGTTTATTAATTTTTTGAAAACCAGTAATTTTTTTCAACTTCGTGTGAAAAAAATTGACAAATCATCGACGTGAAGACGTTTATAAACGCATATTGTAGCGAGAAACTTGTCATTTTCGGGCCGGTTTTTGCAATCACCGCGTGCATAAATTCGTCTGAATGTTCTATTGTCATGGGTGGTGCTTATCAAAATACAAAATATTAAATGCTCTTTTTTTTGTCTATTTAAATTCCTAATTGCAAATAACAGTTAAAGATTTGTGCATATATCAGTAAGGGTGCATTTTAGTACAAGAGACACAGGTTACCCATCAATTTTGGTAATTTTCCGGGGGGTACGTTTATTCCGGGGGTATGTTTATTTGATTTTGAAGATTTGTCCGGGGGGGTACGTTTATTCCGGGGGGTATGTTTATTCGGCAGATGAGAGTAATAAAGACTGCAACTAACCAATGTTGGTGTAGTGTACAAAAAAGGTTAAAAGAACTTCATAAGTGGCAAAAACTTTTGTACCAACTAAAAGAAGAATATGCTATAGACTTACCAGGTCCTTTGAGTTAAATACCAGTGATTGCATAGAAGAGGAAGAAGCAACAGTTGTATTAAGTACATTGAGTCTATAGCTATATCAGTATGGACTGTAAAGTGCTGATTTTAATAGAAACTTGACATTTTTTGTTGTGGGTAGTACTTGTTGTCACATTGTAACGGTGGGGTTCAAGTGCCACTAACTGATCCATTTCAATGGGTCTGGACCTTTTGGAGTAGACATTAGCGTGCTGGTGTTTAAGTTTGCTGCCCAGGTTTGGCGCAGGTTCCATTCCTGGCATCCTGGGAGTCAGGGGTTTTCCTGTTGCTACAGACGTTCCTATTTGTTTCAACATATCACTAGCTCCTTGCTCTCTCTTCAAAGCGCTATCGTACGAAGGTTACATAACTTACAGGGTCGACTTCCGGCTGTTGTGTGTCTGTCTCGTCCTCCTCGTCTGTGCTGTACTCCTCGTAGATCCCGTCGCTGCAGTGCAGAACACGACGTGGCTGCTTCTTCTTATGGGCGGGGCAGTCAGGCAGGTGCTCGTCCAGACTCACCGTGTGGAACCCCTGGGCGTCGTCCTGAAAAATATCCATATGTGAATACTGTATCTGTATCTGTATTAGTATAGCCGGTATGACTGCCCTTCAGCATAACACACCAGCTTCGCAGGCATGCGGCGCGGTGGCAGCTGGCTACATACGGAACAATTCGTTACACCTAACCCTTGGACATACATTGTTTAAAGCTATCCAATGATAATGCCCTACTGTACTTGGTGACAGCGAGTTCCACTCTGCGGTAGTTCTAGGAATGAATGAATTTTTGAACACCTCAATCCTTGTTTGATAACTCTGGTAATTGAATGCATGCCTATTTCTAATATTTCTAATACTGTCAATTCAGTTTAATTTACACTTTGTCATGATACATTTAAGCCCAGCAGGTTTGAAGTCAGGAAGTGGAGTTCCCACTGAAGAACCAAAGCTAAAGCCTAAGCTACCAGTCAGCCACAAACCACCTGTGTCACCTGTTCCAAGAAAAACAACAACCTGCAACAAGATAAGCTCCCCCTCCCCACAACCTACGATTGTGACACCCATAAATCCTTTCATGTCAATGACGAGAACATTTTAATTATATCACAAAATAACCTCATATTTCCGGTATAAATGACATGAATATTAGGTAATGGTACCTCACCATTCGTTTGTCCTGAAGTAAAACATCGTCGGTAGCCACAACTGAAACACCTGACGACGCCATCTTGGTTATTTCTGGTGGTGACGTCATTCTCACGGGAACCTGGCTCATGTTTTCGTAAAAACGGAGAGGATTAAAGCAAAATGTCTAACTTCTTATCAACAATAAAATTCAAAGTTGTACTGTCGTCTTGACTTATGATGTTTTTTTTAGATAACCTGGCTATCTTGTTGATGAAAATGTATATTGACCTTTGAACCGTAAAGAATGACGCAATGCCGGCATGAAAAAAATCATCATCACATCAGGACAAAGATTTGATAATCTGTGAGTCATTGTGCCAGGCACAGCAGGTGTTGAGAGGAATCCAGCCAGTTGAGCGGTAAATAGGGTAACAAAATACGTCCAAACGTACGTTCAGATGTGATGTTAGCTGTTGTTAAGACGAGAAAACCGGCAATGTGACCTTAGGGACAGAAACGTCGACCGTTGGACCGGTAAGGGACATGTTCTGTTTGTGATTATGTTTGTCCTCAAATAAATTTTTACGATCTCTGTAATTGCCCTTAAAAATATATTCATGCTCTTTGTTGATCGCCATATTTTTGCTGATGGTAGAATCTCATAATGATCTGATCGTATCTCAGAAATCTGTTGATTTAAGCGATAACCCGTTGACCTAATTTTTGTTCAGAGCAATAGTTATAAATAACACAAACACGATGTTATGATATTTGTCAAGGGCAAGGGCAGAATATGTTATGAAGCAAGGGCGTAACAAAAGACCCTCTAGAAACCAGAATACCATGTTTACTAAGAACTATGACAAAGATTTTGAACAAATAACAGTAGTTAAGGGCAAATAATAATACCCCTTGTCCCTGATCAAAGGTCATGTTTTTTCCACACACTGTGCTTTGAGCTAACTTGTATATTTTAGCTGTAATGCTAAATCAGTCGTTTTCCACCAAGCAAAACAAAACTGTTGTCTTGATCCCAGATTGTGTTACGACTCAGGAAGAAGAAGATAAGATGGCCAGCAGCCTGCTGAAGGGAGCTGTGTTGTTGCTGGTGTCAGTGTTGTCCTGGCTGTGTGTGTACATGAAGGGGAGGTACACAGTCGACCTGAGGAGCCTGCCACAGCACCCACGGTCACACCAGCCTCCTTACCCTGGGGGCACGCACGACAACCTGTTATGGTTCCTTCAGGTAGGCTTAACGTCTCAAGGTTTGTCCCAAAACCTCAGTATGTCAGGACCTTTGGTAGAAAACATGACTCATTGCAAATTAGTTTTTTCTTGACACTGCACAGTTTCAGTTTTTCATTCTGCTACCTCCTCAAAATATCATTCCCTGTAAAAACGGAACTTACATTTCTTAACATATTGTCCAAATGTGAATTTGATACACCCACAGACACATAGCTAAGAGAAAAAAATAGCTTAATGTCCTTTCATGGTGTTGGTGATTGTACCTTAATGTACCCTACAGTCAATAAGTATGGTAATTGTGAGTAATATCTGCAAATGGTACAATTTACATCTACCTTATTGGATGATCCACTGTGCCAGCTGTCACTCCCTAGACTGCCAGCATTTTCACATACAATCAAAAAGCACTCCACATGTTATTCTAGCATATATGTAGGCTAATAAAAAAGTGAGTCATACATATTACATTTGTGTTTTTTTCTTGCCCCCTGCAGGTATCAGACATCCACATCAGCAGGTTTTACGACCCACAGAGAGTCACAGACTTTAAACAGTTCTGTTCTGAGAATGTTGACGTCTTCAAACCACCCATGGTTCTGGTCACTGGTAAGTCAAATGCTTGAATGTAGAAATTTATTAACCTATTTTTTTTTTTGGTTGAATAGCAAAGCTCTTTACTCACATCCACTTGTTTAACAAGAGCCAATGTTAAACAGGTGGTTGTGAAGAAAAAACTTTGCTGTTCAGTCATTCACTAACATGATGAAATTATTCACGGCTCTTTTTTCATTGTTGCTATCAGGCCAAATGACTTTATTGTACAAATTTAAACTCCTAAAGCTCTACTGGACACATCTTCTAGAACCTTAGAGATGGACAGTATGTGGCTTTATATGCAGAGTTGCTAAATGAAGATCAGATTCAGAGTAAACAATATTATTCAGCAACAGCTTTTGCTGACATTAAGGATGATACAGGTGTCTTTATCTCCCACCTTGTCAGCTTGTGATATTTTTCACAGGGAGTATTTAGTCTACAGTGTATTGGTAAAGATTAGCTGTAAAAGAGATAACCATCCCAAATCTCTCTCCTTTTGTGTGCAGGTGATTTGACAGATGCTAAGACAATAGACCGTGGCGGGTCCATGCAGTATGAGGTGGAGTGGAGGACGTACTACGGAGTGCTGAAGGAGACCAACGTTATGGAGAGGACATTGTGGATGGACATCAGAGGCAACCATGGTGAGGAACTGAAAAAAGAAAGCCAATGTCATCTCAATCCAGTTTAGCTGATACAAAAGAGCTAAGCTTCCTCTGGTCATCACAAGGAAGACAGACTCTATGCACAGTATTTACAGGTTCATTACGGCCCAGAGAAATTGCCCTTACTGACTCTTTTTGGCAAGCACAATGAAAAGTGGAACACGACTTGATGTCCATAAGGATTGTGATCCTTTCTCTGTGTGTGCACCCTGGGAGAGCAACAACAGCCAGGATTTGAAGTCCAGTCAAGGAACTTTAGATCCAAAGGCATGAGTCACTAACCACTTGACTACAAGCAACTGTAACTGATCCTATCAGCCAGGAATGTGTATCATGTATAGATTAGTTTTTGTTTAGTAAGTGAACAACACATTGCTATACTACATGTACTAGTAATTGGCTCATAATACTGACCACTGTTTTCATGCCTTTCAGATGCTTTTGATATCCCCGCACTGCACAGCAATAGGAACTTCTTCAGGTATGTCATTGGTTGTAAAAACATTAAAATTTATGTATGTGACCATATTGACAGATCTAGACTTATGTATATGGCAAAACTTTCTCTATACTGCTGGTCTCACATTATCAGTTCCAGTAAATATACTGGTAACAAAACAAAACAAAACAAAACAAAACAAAGCAATGAGATGGCAATCATAACTGAAAAGGAACTTCAAAGTCTTTATAGCTTCACTATATTAGAACTTCTACTACATACTATGTCATCAACTATGATACACATAAGTCAGCTTACTTTTCTCAGCTATAAAACACTGTTGAGGGTGTCAAACTTTTCTCTTGCAGACAGTACTCCTCCATGGGGCAGACAGGAAAGATTTCGTACCACCACGCCCACAAGACTCCGTTTGGAACCTACTCCTTTGTGGCGCTCGACGCTTGCCTCAACCCTGGGCCCAGGAGACCCTTCAACTTCTTTGGCTATCTCAACGAGGTCTGATAGTTTACTTTTTTATGAGATATTGAGAAGAAATCCTACAGATTGCTCTAAAGGCTAATGAGCCTATGGCAGAAACAGTCATTGCTAGAAAACTTGATCCAAAACCTTGTTTTCTGCAATATGCAATTCATAATACAGAATCCGTATATATATACTCTATATTTGCGAAGTTGCTAGTTGCTAGTTGCCAGCTATACAGATACAGAGATTGGCAAGATATTGTCCATACTGAAATTCATATTTTGTGCTGTTCTCCCCCTCAGTCTTCCCTAGCCTCCCTGCAGAGCCTTGCAGATGAGACAGTACACAGTAACATGACTATCTGGATGGGACATCACCCTACTGCTACCATCCTGTCTCCTAACCCTGGCATCAAACATGTCATCAGGTACTGTCGACAACAACAATCATGTATATGTGTACCTATAAACCTCTGGCTGCCAAGCAGAGAATATTGACATTCTCCATATTCAATAGTTTGCTTCGCCAATTCCTCTCCCTTGAGAACTTAGCTTGAACAAGTCATTTTGATAACTTGATAATGTCTTGCTACTGTAACTGCCATCTTGCTGATGTTTCAGGGCAACAATTCAAACAAGTTTGGAGTGATAATTTTTTATTTACCCATCTTATTACTGGAATTCGTGCACCACTAGTTAGTTTAATAAAATGATGACATAAAAGTTAGGGATCAAATGGTACTTCTCTCTTTTCCATCATGACTCTGCTCATGTTGTGATGAGTATTAAAAGCTCTTCTGTTGAGTTGCAACAATATCTCTCAGTCACTGTTTTGCATCCTTTGTCCACTGAATGGTGTTGTAATGGAGGACTCACTGATGATGCTGTTTTCCCCAGGAATGGTATGGCTTACCTGTGTTTAATGGAGGACTTACTAATGTTTTTTTCCCAGGAATGGGATAGCGTACCTGTGTGGCCATCTACACGACCTGGGCGGACTTTTCCCTGTCATGTACTCCATGCAGGAGGGAGGGACTCTAGAGCTGGAGCTGTCTGATTGGATGAACAACAGGAGGTGAGCTCCATTATCCTTGATGCTGCATACTGTTGAGAAAGGCCTGTTGTAAACCTGTCTAACACATCCATTGTGCTTCATTGTACCACAGGTGTTCCCTGTGATGGTCCATGTTAGTTTTTTATATCACAGAAGATACATGCATTCGACATTTGGGGGTGTCAATCCTTCAATGTCCTCAAATTTTGGAGCTTAAAAGATTAGTGAAAGTGGAGGGATTGAGTATGATGGAATTGTGATATAAGTGGAATATTGTCTGTTGACCCAAATTGACGAAAGTGATAGTCTTAGAAGTTCTTAGAAATTTTAGACATACATAAGAAGAAAACTGATTGTTTTTAGACTCCAGCTGAGATGATGCCTACTTTGATCTGCACAAAATACCATTTGAAAGATTCCTTACAATCAAAGAGGTGAACTGTAGCAAAATTATCATATCAGCAGAATCAAAGATCCAGTGTCATTATTCTGCACTTCCCCTATAGGTATCGGCTGCTTGCTGCTGACCATGACATCCTGTCGTTCGTGGATGTGAAACTCGGGGAGTGGCCGGTCGTACTGGTCACCAACCCTAAAGATGCCATGTTTTCAACTCCTTCCCATGAGCCTCTGGGCAGGATACGGCACTCTACCCATATCAGGTCGGTACAAAGTGTAACCCTCTCCTTAGATAGCAGTCTGTGGGGTATAGATGTGTACCTGGTATATGTCAAACCATCCCAGGAAGACCAACCAGGAAACTGACAGAGGTAAAATGGTCCTCTTGGACAGGTAGCCTTCTTGGGAGGACACTGAATGCTTGTGTCTAGGAAAAAAAGAAATCTGTGACTGGGTAGGTTTGATACTGTATGTATATAGACTACATATAGGGCTGTACATTGTGACGGACTGTCTTTGAGCAGGGATCCTGTTTTGAAAAATGTACAACCAATTGCACAGAATGGCATATCTTTTTCTGATAGAACAGTTAATATTAGATACATTCAACCTACACCTCAACATATTTTGCCTTTTTGTAGGGTGCTGGCATTTTCCTCAGCTACCATAGAGACTGTGGTGGTACGGCATAATGGCTAATCCTTTTTTATACATTGTACATTCAATCTAAACCTCAACATGTTTTGCCTTCCTGTAGGTTGCTGGCATTTTCCCCAGCTGCCATAGAGACAGTGATGGTGTGGTTGGATGGTGGTCGGTTCTGTGAGGCCAGTCATGTGGACGGGCCATTGTACACCTGTCCCTGGAACCCTGCAGACTACGGGACTGGCCTGCACACCATTGCTGTGGACGTCACTGTGAGTACTGGGTGTCGAATAGGGACATGTTACCAGAATGGAACACAATATTTGGGCTGTTAAAATTACTGTGCAAGTGAGCCATCTGCCTACACATATGCCAAGATTTTGCATAGACTAGTCATGAGTAAAACTTCTGCAAGAGTAGTTCTTCTGCAAAACAGGATATGTGCATATTACAATTATTTAGTATCTGGCCTCAGTGTACAAAACACCAATGTACCAGAGGCATAGATGGTACATAAATAAAGTTGAATTATCATGGATATACAATCCATAAAGCTTACAATGCTGCAAGTGTAGTGGAAGGTTCCAAAAACTCTTTGGAGATGTGTAAGATTTACAGGTACACTAACTATGATTATAATTACAATGACATGGTTACACTATGAAATGGTTAAGACATTTTTCCTGATGACTTTTTCCCCCCAGGACAGTGAAGGTCGTACCCGGCATCAGGAGCACTCCTTCTCGGTGGACGGCAGCCGTTCTCACATCTCATTCGTCCAGACGGTCATCCTGCAGACAGACTGGCTCGTACTGGTGGGCTACTGGTTCTTCTCAAACTGAACAGACAGACATTTTAGACAAGGATGCTGTCATTCAATATAAAACTAAAAAAGATAATCATTATGCTCAAGTGGAATATCAACATTGAAATCAGGGTCTGAGAGGAATGCAACATGCAAGTTTTTCTCCCACCCTTCAATTGTCATTATGTCCTCTTGCTAAAATTTGTCATAAAAATATCTGAGATCCAACGATGTGTGGCCTGCTGAAACTATTTACAGATGTATTCGTAGTTTCCTGTACAGAAGTATCCCTGAGTTTTTGCTCCAGATGAAGGTAGTGTTCAATGAAAAGCGGCCTGCAGGCAGGTTTGTAAATGAAAGAAGTCAAGTACATTGTACTTGTCTACAAAGTCATATTCCCATGTTCTGTTGCAGATGAAGATAGTGTTCCTGCTGGTGTTCACAGCCGGAGTGCTGACCCTGCCTGTCCTGCGGTACTCCTCCCCAGTCCTGCCTCCAGGTGGGTCCAGCCAGGACAGTGTTGGTGGTGCCGGCTGTGGGAGTAAGGGTTCCCCCTCATTCATGTCTTCACTAGCCTGGGTATCATCCAGGTTTGCTCCGCTGCAAAATTCAGAGCAAAAACCGGCACAGTCGAGCAAAATCTGGATGATACCCATGGTAGTATTCACAAACCAGGGTTCGAAATACCCACTCATGCCACGCAGGTCATGGTTCCTGTGTGAGACTTATTGTAGATGCCAGCAGGTTGCCCAGCTTGAAAGCTTCTGAAATCATGGTTTCTGTGTCAGACTTGGTTGCCTGGTGCGGAAGTTACGGCTTCTGAAATAGTGTATTGCCTTGGCCATTATGTAAGTCATACCTTTACAGATGGCCTGGCTGACAACTTACCTTCAAATATAAACAGCTGGTATTGACAGCAGCCCAAAAGATAAATGTGCAGCTTAGCTTTTGGGTAACCTGAGAAAAAGTATTTCGAACCCTGATAATCCTCTCCCAAATCACCCTGGAATCAACCTTAATTTCCAAGACCTCACTTTCACCCACTCACTCTCTCTAGAATCATTTTCATAGATCATTATGTTTTTTAGATCATATGTAGATTTCATCATACAAATGTATTAAGAAATAATTATGATCATTTTGTGACATCTGTTGGATTCTTTTTTTGTGTGTTTGTTTTACCATGGACACCGTCATCAGGCTGTTTTCATTTACTGGAATTACTGGGATTGTCAACATGGTGTGACATGATGATCAGAAAAGGTAACATATAATCACCTAGAATCTCTCAAAATTTTGATACACGAATTTATACGTCTACTTCTGATGTCACCCGAAGGCTTTGGAAGCTATGACATGAGTTAAATTTATCAATCAGTTAAAATGTTTTATTGTCATAAAAGAAAGTTATGTCTCCTAACATCTCTGACTTAACTTTAGGAAGATTTGTCAGAGTCTCAATGTCTTTATCAGTTGTAATGGAAGCTCCCTTCCTGCAGGTGCGTACCCGCGACAGTTTGTTCACAAGTGGCTGTCCCGTCTGTCCCTGCTGACTAAGGTGGACCAACTCTACTACCCACTCTTCTGCTTCGGCGTCTACATTCCTTTTGGTGAGTCTCAAATATGTGTCTTCAAGACTTTCCCTGCAGTAGCCAAGAATCCTTCGCTCACTTGTCAAAATTAAACTTCTACAGGGGAGTTAGTAATAGCCAGAGAACTCCTCTTGGGCTCAACTCTGCCTTAGTGGTAATTTTGACAGACAGGCAAAGGGCTTTTGGCTATGGAAGGGAAACGGCTAACAGCCCTATACTAGTCTGTATGAGCTGTTTGTTGTTGACATTGTGGGCCAATGGAAAAGATCTTTTGCCTCTGGCTTAATATGTCTTAAAATTTTGACCTGAGGTGAAACCTTGATTGCACATGCACAGCATCTTTCCCATGATACAAATATAAAATACATGTAGTAGAAAATCAGGATCCATACAATTTAATTTCAGATGGCATTTTTTGCCAGCATCACTGCAATTGTACCTGCATTTAATAAGGTTAATTTAAACCACCATGATTCCTGCAGAATTTTGCTTGCAGAGTGGCACAAAGTACAGAAGTGGTTGCACCAGCACGGTTATGTTACCTTTGAAGTTGCCAGGGGTATGCCTTAAGTGATTCAATGTTTCTTGCATGTCTCTGCTACACCATCAGGCCCATGGTTTTATGGAGAACTGATCCAGGGGCACTACGGTGCACTCTTCATGCACGGGACCTACATAGCCGGAGCCTACGTGCCAGGACTCTGGTCACATGCCTATGCTACCCTGCAGGTTAGGAGCAATTGGTGAAGCGTGGCACGTCACCAGATCATACTGCGCGGGCGCGAAACCACGGTTCCTGATGGATGTTTGTTCAACGTTGCATCAGAATTTTGCCTGTTGCAGACAATATCTTTTCTGATACAACATTGCAAAACTATAGACAGGATGTCATCCTTAAATACACAAATACAACCTTAAACAATTAAGACGTTCTGCCAAAGTGCTAGTCACAATACATCATGGGTTTTGCGCTGGCGCAGTACTGATGACGTGCTGTTAAGGGTGTGTTTGTCAATGCTTTGTTTGTGTCTCTGCTGCCTTAGGCCCCTGGTATGTGGGAGAACTGATCAGGGGGCACTACGGTGCGCTCTTCATGCATGGGACGTACGTAGCCGGTGGCTACTTGCCGGGGCTTAAATCCTATGCCTTTGCTTCTCTACAGGTAAGAAACTGTTGAAGATGTCATGATTTTATAATAATATTCTTTCATCTGTTCTTGTTCTAGTCTCTCTCTCTCTCGCTCTTTCTGTGTGTCGACACACACACAGTTTTGAAAGATGCTATTAGTATATGTACCATATATAATTAGTAAATGTAAAACACATAAGAATGCTATAGATTTAATGATAGAGCAAGAACATTATCTCTAATATCTTTTTTTCATGCTTCTTGCTTCCAGATTGCCCTTTTCAATGTGCCATTGACAATCTACCTTGCCACGTTGCTGGATAACCACCTGTGGCAGCTCAGCCATAAAAACGACCAAGCCACCAACAACCACGCCAAGCCCAAACACAGGCTATATCCACAGCTCATCGGGCTCCTGCGGCTTCATGGGTTTGGGGTCTTCTTTCTCATCTGGCAACTGTATGCCAGCTACTGGGTCATGGTTGCGTACGGGACCATGTCATTTCTAATATGCCCCCTGCGGACGTGGTCCCTTCTCCTGGCGGCTTGGCTGATTTATAAGGTGCAAACGTTGCCAAAGGAGAAAGTCGCCCACCTCGTCAGATGATGTACACTGTTGTGTCTCAGGGTTTTAAGTTTGAACTTCATGTGCATTATTTTTAAATTAGCAGTGCAGTGTGGAAGTGAAAAGTTGCAATAAATGTTGCAATGAGATGTGTGTGAAATTTGGCAGTCATGAAATCCAAACTAGTATGGTAAACATACACATTATTAGCAAGTCAAGGTGAACATAACCAGATATCAAGACAGGTAAATGGTGCGCATGCAATGCTGTGTTGTGTCAGTTGTGTCTCACATTATAACTAAAGGTATACATTTGCGGGCTCCTACATTGAGTTTGGTGAAGAGGTACATAGTACTATTAGTAGGTGTTAATGAATAGATAGAGGCAGTGCTAGAAGATATACCTGTGTGGTGGGATAATTTAAGAAGCATAGATGTTACTTTGCTGATAGAAGGTGCAAAAGTTTCAATACTTTTTATTAAAGCCACAGTGTAGCAAAATGCATGCATGTTAGATATGGTAGGTAGTGTTTAAAAAGTGTAGTTTGTGTCAAATAGAATATTGTATCCTTTTGGTACCATCATCTTGGCATGACCATACCAGGGTTGTCCCAAAGTCCTGTGCAGCAACACTTCTGTTGCTATATATTGAGGTTGGGTTAGAAGGGTCATAACAATATTTGCCTAAAGACCATATCCACATTGCCTAGTAGTGAGACTGGCTACTTGTTTTTGTTATCAGTGAATTGCCTATAAATATATATATATAAAGTTTTCTATTTCTATCCAAAAAAGTCTAATACATATGTCAGTATACATGTAGTTGTGCACTCATTGTTCCTACCAAGTCCGAATTGGACTGTTCATTTTGGGCATGCAGTAATAGAGGCCTGAAATGAAAGCCAAGATGTAATATTTATGGAGGCAAATCCAGTTCAACCAAGACTATTAGTAATAGTATTTCACTGAAGATAGCTTAAGCCAAGTTCCAATTTGGATGGTTGACTGCAATATGTGTCAAAGCCATTGTTGTCTTGTGGATGTACTTGTGTACGTATCGTGGAATTGAAAGTATCTGTATCTGTATATAGTATGGAAATGAGAGCACATTCTTGCCACACGTTTTGAATATGGTGCACAAGTCAGGAATGTGTTTGTGAACTGTAATTTGGTGTAACTATTTATACGTGTAATGTCACTTTTGCAGTGCCCTGTATCAAGTTTTCCTCATTGATTAAAGCAAATTTGACAACACCGCAATCATGTTGTCTGGTACAGTTTGTGTATGTAGTTGACCTTATAAATATATAAATCTTAATGGCAAAATGTGTATGCATTTACAAACTGTACGAACAGAGTCAACACTTCTGAGAAAGACATGACAGAGGGATTTTTATTCACACATTTATGCAAAATAGCCAAAGGCATATAGCAAAATTTAAGTAAACAGCAGACTTGGTTCATTATTTTTCTGCCAGGAATGCGATTTTAACGATGTATGTAGTTCTGGCAGTAGATACAATTGCTGTGTTTTAAAGGTCAAGAACAACTTCTTTAAGAATACTAGTGTTTTTTGACACAAGTGTTGTTGTATATTTCCTTTAGAAACGCACAGTTTGTTTTCCAGGGCAATGGGTCTAAACCTTTGATCTGCAACATTTACAGTATTGTTTAGTAACAACATCAGCACCAAAATACCTCTGATTGAAAAAGAGTACTAAGTTGTGCAGTGCACTTAGATTTCTGACTGCATTCATTACATACTTTCATTATTGTAACTATACATTTGCAGACATAAGACTGAAGAGCTGGTTATATATATTTGAGTGTGTACTAGTATAGGCTCTGAGTCTGAGGGAAAGAATAGCTTTGGAATGTAACAGCCTACTCATTTACTACTCTCCAAGCAGAGGTTGGTGAGAGAGTTTTTTTTTCTGTCATGTGGGTAGCGACAGAAAAAAGGGGGCATATTAGACAGATTAAAACTCTTCCCCCACCAACCTCTGCTTGGAGAGTACTCATTTACATGTAACGTTATATCTAACATTAATACAATACATTGACTGGATGAATCCTGTGAAGTTACATATAAATGCTTCCCTCATACGGGTCCCACATGTCCTTGGGAAGATCGTACACGAGGAAGAAGAGTAGGCCTGAGATGAGAGCCAGGACCATGCACACCCAGGCGATGATGTAGGAGTAACCCCAGTACAGCACGGCCCCGCCTGGGCCCAGCGTGTTCGTGGTGAAACCCGTGTACAGGGCAGCGGCGATCATGATCAGGAGACCTACGTAAAGACATTCGCAATATAGAAAAAATAACACGTTTCGTAAACGTTTCGTAAACTAAGGCGTGTGCAGGTTTAAATGGCCCTTTTTGGCCTACTCACGCATTTCGTCCAAATCGATGGAAGTTGACAAAGCTTCAGTTTTTCAGATACTGAACAGAAGAAACAAATTTATATGACAAGACATACATTTACTTAACTTTCACTCGGTCATAATCTTCTTGGTCAGTCTAAGTGTAATGTCTAAGTTGGAAGGTCTTCGTATCTCCGAACGACGCCGCTCCCTGGCGTTTTGCTATGTAATTTTTATTAGGGAGTTTAATACTAGTACTAAAGCCACTGTACCCACCTGTGAGGATCATGAGTGCGCCTGCCACTTTAGGCTGGTTGATCTTGTGAGAGATGCAGATGAAGCCCAGAATGCCCAGCACCAGCGCGACGAACGCCGTGAAGATGGAGAACACCATCAGGAACCGGACCGCGTGAAGCCAGCCCTCGTTCGCTCCTGGAGGCAAACAGGTGGTTCATAGCACGTCTATCTTCAGAGCATACGATACCAGTTCTTTTTTTAATAGAAAAAAAACTTAACTGATAACATAGTAACAAAATACATGTATGCACAAATATACACATACAACACAATATACAAAGGTACATCTGATACCAGCAGTTCTGATGCCAATTGCTAGAAGGCGCTAACATCCTTCTGTGGTGGTTGGCCAAATTTTATCCAATTCTATTCTATTTATATAACTGTTTCCTGCACGTACACATACAGATATATACATAGATAGATAGATAGATAGATAGATAGATAGATAGATAGATAGATAGATAGGTAGAGTTAGTAGGAATTTTGCGACCACCGTGGCCTCTCTTTATCTCCCATTAACATGTTTCTATTCGTTTCCTGTTTGATACGACACCGTCGGAGAAATATAAGATCTCTTTCCTTCCCCTTTTTACAGACGTGGCCCCAGATCTTGGACTGGTTTGCCGTTATGCATGCATTTAAACCCATATATGGGGCGTTAAAGACCTAATCCCCACAGATACTAGCAGATTACACACATTAGTAACAGCAGGTTGTTGTTATGGTGAATAAGCGAGTGCGTTAGTGACGGGTGGATGAGCGGTGATAAAGAGACCTGGGCGTTTTCTGAATACATAAAGTTACAACTCATTATACCGACGAGACATACATGTACATTCTTGGCTTTAATTCACTCTTTAGTAGTTCTCTCTATGTTTCGGCGACGTAGTAAGAAATGTCGCTCTATTTGGCAAGTTCTTGGCAGATATATAGGCTCAACAGTAGTGAGAAGATGCTCGTACGTAACAGTCCAACGATAACATCGTACTATCTATATCATTATGGACGCGGGATACTCCCCACAGTTACCCTCTAATGTCTAGTAAATTGATTTGGGCGTGCCATATATTATTCTCGGGTGGCAAACAATTTAACGTGTTGGGGCAATACAACGAACAGTCAGTGAAAATTGCAGCACGAAAAAGAGACGATTTTTTTCTATACAAATTGAAAATTCAACGCATGTTTTGTCGTGAAAGCCGAAAGAAAGGATCTCACAATTGAGGTCACATGCTCCAAGGGGAGAGTACTCCAAAGAATGCCCTCACACACGGGACACCCTCACATAAAGCACACGGACAATAACGTGCGGCTGGGTTCTGTGCTGCCCTCTGCACGCAAAATATACGAGAGAATCGTAACAACCGCTGGAATACATGTGTTTCTCGACCTTTCCCAGGGATAAAACAGTAAGGAAACACCATGCTAGAGGACGCCATGATGGTTCCTTTCATCCTTGCAAAGCAGCAGAGCTTGACCTTGGACCCTAAAGCTTCTACAATGTAAGGCAAAAACGGTTTGACATACCGATATCCAGCAGCCTACAGCTCCGGTAGTACCCCTGGAATCTGCAGGAGATGAAAATCCCGAAGCTCTCCCTGAAGAACGTCTCCTCCGTGACGCGCCAGGTGCTGGTGGCGGTAGCGACGATGGTTAAGACCAGGGTGGCGGCCGCCAGCACACAGGCCATGGCCCGGATCTCCTGCATCCGACAACACAGCACCATTCTGTCTCCCTCTTCTCTGTCTCAGACCCTCGTATACTAGTATATATCCTAAATCAGACCAGTCCGCTCCGAGAGTCGTAGACGTAGCTAGAAAGGAAATGAAAACGACAATGCTGCTGGTTGTATCGTTGCTGTTTTTCCCACGAACTGCGCCTCCAGATATGTAGTTCAACCACTGGCGATTTTCCGCTCCGCTTCCCCAACTGAAGACCAGCCCGCTTCACTACTGCTACACAGACGACCCCGACCTGCCTGTGACTGGTCTGGGCGTTCCCGAGTAGGTGATGCCACCTCGGGGTCACCTGTCACGCGAGATTATCATGCGTTATTATAGCGCGACTTCAAGCGAGAGTAATAGCATGAATTAACGTACCGATATCTTTTTAATATAACAACGAAAAAAGAATTAAAACGTCTAAAGCTCTGTTGTATTGTGCTTAGCTCTTGGGCAGGAGTAAACTGTACTCATGTATGGGACTAACGCCCTCGGCATGTTCTGTCTGTCTATTTGGCCAATTTCTTTCCAGCCGCTTCTGAGGCCTGATCCTCTCTATTCCTCTATCCAAAGGTTGCGTACAACAGACCTGAAAGGTTACGTTGGTTATAAACAAGAGAAAAGTTAACCGATTTATCTTCTTATCCATCTTGACAGACGATAGGGGCAAGCATTCCTATGGTGTTACTCAAGTGAAAGGAAAGGCTTCTACCCTACAGGAAAGAAGTGTGGCATTGCCAGAAACATCGTCTAGTGTACTCTTGACAAATAGCTTCAACAGTTACCTTCACTCACTTCAACCTTTGCACGGTAAATGTCAACCAAGGCCCACTGGGTGAGTGTAAATTCATCACAAAGAGATATGTGCCCCCCACCCTCCCCACTTGTTCTGTTTGGTACTATTTAAAGCCTCGTTAGATACCTCTATAAAACAACATTTGCAGTTAGATGTGCAAAGGCTGGGTTTAACAGGTCACTCGGTATAATATAGCCAGCTGCCGCAGCACCGCGCGCATGCGAAGCTGGTGTGTAATACCGGAGGGCAATTATACCGGCTATACAGATACAGAAATTGAAGCCAAATTAAAGTTAGCGGTGAAGAACACAGTGGTGCAGAGTTCTCTTCCCTTCCATACCTACTCCAGCTTAACACCTCCCCCACAGGAGTGATTTGAGAACGTCCTGAACTATTGTGCACCCGTCAGATACCTCAGCCAAAATAGAGCGCTGTGCATAATTTATGGCTCTTTTGTTGCCAAATCACGAGAGTTCCTCTGACAGCTTTTTTCAATGTATCAGGGGACGCAGAAAGGAATGTTGTCTTTAGAATTTGTCGAAACCCGACTTTAAGGGGATTGTAATGTGGAACGCGAGACGATGCATGCAATCTTTGTTGGGGGATTTTCTACTGTTGTACTATTGACATACATTTTATTTTCATAGCTATAGATTTGCAGATGCAATGGATAAAAACAAACAACAGAGACATTTGTTCATATATGCTTGGTGAAAAAGACACGCAATCGCCCGTTTCACTACGAAAAATTCCATTCTTTGTAGATAATGTGCCTGAAATAAAGTCCACGTAATCGATGGTGATTTGGAACCTACATACCATATTCAGCGAACAATAGACTATTGCCAAGTGTAGTGACATTTGTGATTTTAGAGATAAATCTACAAAGGCCCGGAAATTATGGTGTATATACGGAATTCACGGGGAAAAATCATGAATGCTATTTCGTTTAAGGTGTTGTACACACTGTCAGAGTGACTCCTTTTTTTCTCAGGACAGGCCTGTTTCTTTCTATTCTTCTTTAGTGTACTGATTTCTACGTGTGGACGTTTTCACCTAACAGGCATACGGGTGTTACAGTGTCTGATAGATGACATCTGTGTTAGAAAAACATCACAGCATTTACGTAATGATCGTCTGTACATGGCACTTCAGCACAAGGGTAGGTAGGGATAGTTCAGCTGCCAGAAATGATAGCTATAATGCGTGTGGATGGTGTTCAGCACCAAGGACAGGTCCATTCTAATGCGTGTGGATGGTGTTCAGCACTAAGGACAGGCCCGTTCTAATGTGTGTGGATGGTGTTCAGCACCAAGGACTGGGCCGTTCTAATGTGTGTGGATGGTGTTCAGCACCAAGGACTGGGCCGTTCTAATGTGTGGGAATGGTATTTAGCACCAAGGACTGTGTCGTTCTAATGCGTGTGGATGGTGTTCAGCACCAAGGACAGGTCCATTCTAATGCGTGTGGATTGTGTTCAGCACCAAGGACTGGGCCGTTCTAATGCGTGTGGATGGTGTTCAGCACCAAGGACTGGGCCGTTCTAATGCGTGTGGATGGTGTTCAGCACCAAGGACTGGGCCGTTCTAATGCGTGTGGATGGTGTTCAGCACCAAGGACTGGGCCGTTCTAATGTGTGTGGAAGGTTTTGTTCTAATGTGTTTGGGTGGCATTGGGCACCAAGGACAGGGCCGTTCGACTGTATTGGGATGGTGTTCAGCACCAAGGACATGTCTAATCTAGTGTGTTTGAATGGTATTTAGCATAAGTATCATTGCTTTCTTATATTGCCAGATCCTGTATGTTAGGTTTTTAAACCAGACTTATTCTAAATCATGATGGAGCAACACTGTATCAACTGTGACAAACATTTTATGTACACCAAAATAATCTCAGATAACTTTACACTTTTCAAATTTCAGTCGATTTATACATACTACCAGAATGTACATGTACCAGTATGTACATACATACGTCAGAAACAGACTATCTACCAGCTTTGAGACATGCGGGACCCAGTAATGCTTGGCTGTGTTTTTCATCCACCAAATATCTTTTTACAAAAATTTGTAAACTTTTGAAACAAGCTGTGCAACTAGATGAAAGCTTATGTGCAATCAAACTATATTCATGAAATAAAAGTTCATACAAAAGCACAACACCTTTCTATCTTACATAAAACATGGCAGAGGTGTTGGAGTACTAAAATCACTGCCACACCTTATATATGTACAGTGTATACAAAGACTAACACCAAACACTGCTAACATACTTCACTGTTTATAACCATTGCACTGTTTTCCAGTGTTCACATTATTGCACTCGTATTAAAAAAGAATTGGCAAGATACACTGTCTGAGAACAATACAGTATATACTTTTCCATACTCAATTGTAACATTTTATGAAATACTAACTCTTCAGTTTTAAAAATCTATAGAGAACGAACAAATATACACTTTCTCTGAGGAACATATAACTGTACAATAAAATGAATATAATCTGTATCCAAAACAGATTATGTATTTTGCAAAATGATACTGCCCTTCTGAATACTTGATTTGTTTTTAGAAACATGTGAACTGCTTTATGGTTTAAACTACATACACATAGTCCATGGCACAAGAACTGCGTACTATGACCCAGTGGCTTGTGATGTGGACTCGTCATCAGGAGTTTTAGAAGGCGGTTTGTACAGTGGATCTCGTGTCATCATCAACTCCTGAACCTTCAGGTACAGCTCGTGGCTTGGCGAGAAGTTGTTTTTCTGGAAAAGAAGGTCACCAACAGAGATTAGCCTACAGATGACTGGCGCACAAACCTGTGTTATCATAATTCTATACAATCAGCCACAATTATGAGAATTGCCATTGATATCATATAAACTTTATTGCACAACAATTGTACAAGATACAGAGAATGGCAATGAGTGGTTCCATAAGACGACAAATCTACCCAATACAAGAGTGTGTAGTATGGGATGAAAATGGGCTTTTTCAATCATCGGAGGAATTTCTAACATGTAGACAATCTTTAACATATTTTCTTATGTACCTCATGCAAGGGTTGTCATATCATGTATCAGAAAAAACTTCTGAAATCATAGAATGTTTGATTATGGTCTGACAGCAGCAGGAGAAACTAGTACTATGTGTATTCATCAATGGTGTTTAAATTCCTGATTCACTGCTGATATGGGATCTGGATCTCACCTGCACAGACAGCCTCATGAGCCCAGTGCCGCCTGACCGTGATCCCAGCGTGGTGAGAGTGATCTGGTACTGGATCCCCTTCAACAGGGCCTTCAGGCCGGCTTCTCCTATTCTGTTTCCTACAGGGTGGGGTGGATTAGATTCAGTTTAGGGTACAAGTGACAAAGTGTGTTAAAAAGTGTGTGTAGAATACTGTAGATGGTGTTAAGCACAAAGAGCAGATGTGTTGACTGTGGGGATGGTGTTCAGCTCCAAGGACAGGTCTGTTGTAATGTGTGTGGATGGTGTTAAGAACCAAGGACAGGCCTGTTCTAGTGTGTTTGGATAGTGTTCAGCACCAAGGACAGGTCTGTTTTAATGTGTGTGGATGGTGTTCAGCACCAAGGACAGGTCTGTTTTAATGTGTGTGGATGGTGTTCAGCACCAAGGACAGGGTAGATAGCCACAACACATGAAACAATGCACCATCTTTGAGTTCAGGCTACCATTGGCATGAAACAGCATATAATAAAAGGTATCCAAAGAAAAGCAGACATGTGTCCTTACTGGAGATGTTGAGGTTGATGAGTGCCCTGTTGCCTGGGATGAGCAGCTCTCCATCCACTCTCTCTGCCTCCTCCAGCAGGGGGTTAATAATCTCTGGGATGTCTGGAGTCTGTGGGAAACAGGCAATGACAGTCCCCACTGATTCTTCACAAAAATTGCCAAATGCAGATTTTACTTAGACTTAGGAGCTCCCGTGTCTCCTGACATATAAGGCAGTCAGTGAATTCCAGCATATTTGGTCAAAGGCAAAAATAGAGATTCAAATACAGATTTTCAAATACAGATTCTCCAATTTACAGATTTTACATTGACAATAAAGGATACTCATTGACAAGTCACACTCTACTGCTGGTAAATTACTTCTAGACTCTAGACATTCTTCACTCTTCTTCTCAGTCACTAGAAGAAGTGATGCTGAACTAGAAAGGCCAATATTTGCTTTGGAGCAAATACAGCGATGGGTTCACCACATTTTACGACATGGCAGGGAAAGAATGAGAAACACAAGGGAAAACAATGATTTACATTGATATAACTATAATATGAAGTAACATACAACTAAAACAACAGTTGGATAGCTATTCCCTACTTTATTGGTTAGGATTTTTAATTGCATAATGCAAACTGTTGATTTTCAAAATAAAAAAAAACGTTCATGCCCCGCATTCCAATGCTGGAGCAGAAAAGCTTGAAATACCTACCAAAACACTTGAATAAAGACATACTGTCAGTATGGAAATGCTCTGTGCAGGTGTTATTAACAATCACATAAACTATGAAGCCATACATTGAATAAGCTATACATATAATATGATTATCATAACCTTTATTTTTAAAATCATGCCAGTGAGCTAATTGCATGTACAGAGTGAAAGAAAGTAAAGTAAAGCAGTAGAATTTCTGTACTAGCTATGATAGTACTTCATATGATTCGTCCTCATCGTCATCATTCAATGTGGTCTATCTCTTGCTACTAGTGACTGGTAATACCTCTGTAGATTCTTCACACTGGCAGAGTACCGTACTCCTTCTCTCTTGTCAGCTCAATACTTTTGTGACAACATCAAAGTGATTTTAGTTTGTATGTTGGAAAAATACAAAAGACTAACATTCTAAGTTATTGACATTCTTGAGTAAGAACAATCAGTTTTTGAATGTTAAAAGCAAAACAACGAAAATAAAAAAAAATGTTGAAATTGTTAAAATGCAGAATTGTTAAAATCGTTAAAACTGATAAAATTGTTAAAAATTATAAAATTGTTAAAAATGTTAAATTGCTAAAAATATTTATGTCCGATGCACTGGGGTTCGAACTTGCAATGCCTGGGATTGCCGCCTTGCGCGTTTCCAACCGAGCTAACTCGGTGCGATACACATCACTCACTGCATTGTATGTCATAAAAAGTAAACAGCATGGCGGTATCGATCGCCTCAAGCCACCAAGACTTTCAACTATTAACTACGGGGTTTCCTTCTTTATCAGGTTTGCTTTTGAACCACCTTGATGTTACTTAACTATCAACCCGGCTAGCAGAAGCCGCCGGCTCCTTTGATATTACAGCCGCTCCCTGTCCAATCTTGTTTACACGCCGGGCGCAGGTCATTGACCTCCAACTTGCGTTGTTCCAACAGAGAAGAGCAAAATGTCTGGCTCCCGCAAAACGTACCGCACTCTCCCGCTGGACGTACCGCACTCTCCCGCAGAACGTATCGCACTCTCCCGGAGGACGTCCCGCACTCTCCCGAGGGAAGTCCCGCACAGCGTCCTGCACTCTCCCGCAGAACGTCCCTCGAAAATTGATGCGTATTTCGTGGCCTGTGCTGTACCTACCAAAACACTTGAGTTCATACTGTCAAAATGGAATGGCTTTGAACAGGTGTTAATTGAGTTAATCCAATCAAATCCAACAGCCAATCAGCAAGAAGAAAAGATTAGGCTGCGTCAGGTTCATGCTTGCATGCCCATATATGGGCATGCCGCCGAATTTCTTTCTTATTACGTCACGCGCGTACGCCCCCGCACAGTACTTTCCTATGGGGACCGCTAAAAATGCAAATAAAACGATTGTAAAAGCCTGTATCACAAAAATTTAAAAAACGCCTAGGGGTATTTGCCCACTGTACCTCCATACCAAATTTCAGGACCTTAGGCCCTAAAATGAAGAAGCTGAATCCATTTAAAAAATGGCAGGAGGAGAAGGAGGAGGAGGAGAAGAAGAAGAAACATCAGAAAAAGCAATATGGGTTCACCACCACTTCGTGGTGTGGTGAACCCATAATAAAGATTTTACACTACAGAAACAGCTGAGTGTTGTGCTTTCACGAATCATTAGCACTAGATTTCAGCCTCTGTATACTTGCCAGTCATGACAGGCTGAATCTAGTCCTAAACGGGAATCATGCGGCTCCAGATGTATTACTGAGGGACGACTGCAATGTGGTAGACATTGGCTATCTCGAGGAATGAATCCAGTCTACTTTATACTCCTTACCTCAGCTTCTGTTATCGACCCGGCTCCCTGGCCCTTCTTGCCGCCTGACTGCCGACCTTTACCCTTGGTCGCCTTCCCAAGAGTCTCTGCAAGGGAAACAACTGCAATTACCCGACGGGCATCAGTTAAACAGTCCGTGGGTGGTGAGGGGTGGTGAAGAGGTGTCGCTATAATCTCATCTGTTTTTATTATACCAACATTAATCTATAGATTTTCAGTGTATGTGAAAAGTGTTTATGGGGCCAAAGGCATGCATCAAATGTATCTGTCACTGGAATGACATGCAAATTTCAATTCAGCACAAGAAGTGATGTTCTTTTGTGCTTTGTGAAAGCACTTAAAAGTGAGGGATATGTTTTGTTTGGAACAATGTCTCATGCAATGTTCAGCATGTTCACCATTTTTTTCTTAATTCAAATCTGTGGGATTATCAATAGCATTGTTACAACTGTGCACATCAGCATTAGCTGAAAGATCTTTCTTGTTTTAACAGATTCATTCCAACCCTCAGAATTATTTTAGCAGTCACTTACATAGTTACTTTTCCATAAATCTTTTAGAAAATTCAGATCTTTCAGCTCAAGTGACCACATGCAAAATGATACCTGTTTGTAGTTCTGACGTAAATCCTAGAGAGTTTGCTTGCATACAAACAGCATACAAATACATTTCAATAAAAATCCATGCAAGAATTGAACATCTAAACAAGGCATGCATCTCTACAGTCTAGGTCCTAACATTAAACTGTACTATGCATTGTTACATCTGATGTTAGTAAAATTTAAAAATGTGTTTTGAAATGTATCATAATGTAAGATGATCAAAATGACTTGCATGCAAAATGGCTGATTTGGCTACTACTGATCTACAGTATTCTATGAGTTATTCTAAAGCACAATTTGAAACCCCATGGTGGAAAGCTCTATTCTAGCGCAGGAGATTAAAAATAAAAATCATTAAAAAAAACCTGTCCAAGTCAGAAACATGTAGTGGTAAGGTTATCAAATCATTTGCTGTTAGAACGACAAACACAAAGTTACGGGTTTGACTGATTCTTTCCATGTAATGTTAATTGAAAGGTTAGTAATTCCATGATTAGGAAAGAGAGAGAGTTCAGAGAAACCAACACCGATGTTTAACCTTTGGAAGCACCCCGCTGTGGCTCTATGGTTGTGTCCGTGGGATGGAGTGAGTGAGGGATGAATGGATGGATGGAAGGATGAAAAGAAACAAAGTTAGTTTGACATGGACAATACAACAACAATGCACCAATTTACCACTGATATTGCAGACCTCAAAACAAGCCTGAAAGAGTTTCTTAGAAATCTCAAATACTTGTATCTGTACGTCGATGAAGGTTAGACATCCAGGTAATGAGAAGGAATTGTTACTCAAGCAACTGGACAAATTTTGAAAACTCCCAGACGTTTCAAGCAGCATCCACTACTTTTCGTCTGTATTTTGTCTCATGATTACAGTACTTAGTACATGAGAACTAGTCTTTCAGACTTGTGTTGAGATGAGCTAAGTGTCTTTACAGATTAAGCTACTCAAAGCACCTTGATACCATTACGTCACACTGAAGCACACCCTCATGCTTGCCAAAGAAAGCACAGCCCAACCTGATACCGGACTATTGGCAGATCCTGGAGTTAAGGCGGTTAGGGCTCGTATCAGCAGGCAACAACAAGTCACAACAACGAACACATAAGTCATAGGCAGCCTGAAATAACTGGGGTCCCAAGCAGAGGTGAGGAGGTTTGAAAGAGGAGGGCATAGATAGCCAGCTGGGAGATTCGTTTTTCTTCCTTACTGCTCTGATTTTGCTGACATTTTACTTTGATGGGGTGTTTGTGATTGTTTGAGTTAATAAGTTGAAAAAAAATGCAGAATGATTCTTAAGAACAATTGGAGGAATCAAAAGTTTCATAAAATTACATCCCTTACTTATCAAAAGTAAGATATTTGATAGAAAAGAAGGCAGGGAAACTTGAAATGGGGATAGAACAAGAAATCTGCACAAGTTGAATGTTTGACTTCAGTAGTTACCACTTTAGTTGATGACAAGCATGCTTTTAGAGTCATATTCTCATTTTGATTCATCATGATTACAGAGTTGCCAAGCATCATGCATTACCTGTTAGCGATTGCTTGAATCATGAAGTTATCAATTATGACATTACCTTTACTTCTTCAAAAGAACCAAGAAAACTGTGATTTAAGATTTAAAACAAAGCTAACAGTCATATTCATTAGGTACAAACTTGGACTGATGCCATCTCACCTTTCTTCCACTTGTCATCTTTTCCCTTTCCCTTCTTGTCATCTTCCTTTTTGTCCTGTAAATAAGACAAGTCTCTACTTGTAATGCAGCTGTACATATAATACATATGTATTGAATCTATCTATCAATCTAGCAAACAATCCCTATATATCAAAGTTCTTTATTCATGAAACCATCCCGATGAAAATTACAGTCTTGGCAATGTTGGTTCTTGTAAGCAAGTGGTTGTGAATAAAGAACTTTGATATTCAATCATTAACAAACCTGATGCAATTATTTATGACACTCCTATATACATGTATTACAACAAAAATCCTTGATAGAATATAAATCTTCTAAGAGTTTTAAGTCATCGGCCATGCAGAAAAAAGAGAAAAGGAATGCTAATACTACTTGGTGTGGAATCTGACCTTCTTTGCTTTAGAAGATGCGCGTCCAGACTTGGCCATGGACTTGTCCAGCTGTGACCGGCTGCTCTGGCTTCCTGGTCTGTCCCGAGACTCTGCTCTCCTGGAGATGGGCTGGAGGAACAACGACGGGGACAGTCAGCCATCATAGGTTGTTATACAATATTGATGTCGAAATGAGAGAAAAAAATGCTGTCAAGGACCTGAGACTGAGGCTTTTTTGTAACAAGTAAGCAGAATGTTGCAGAACATTTTATCCCAAGAATACATTCAGTTTGCAATCACACAATGTCTGAGACCAGGCCATTGCACCCTTGTCTGTTGTCACAGAGGTGATTGGGCAGCTTAGATTGCATGTACTTCCATGGGTCAACTATCTTTCTTTTGTCTACTCTGAAGCTACACCAAACAAGTGTGAATAAAAAACAGATATTACTAGAATTCAAACTTCCCTGCACAAAATATCTATTCAGCACAGTGATGGGTATACAGTCTAACATGAATCAATACTTACAGATCTTCTGATGTCTGGAGCTCCCTTCTCTGACAGGACTTTCCTCCTCTCCACTACCTCCTCATGGGTCAGGGAAAATCTGGACAGCACCTGGGGACAAGGACAGGCAATCTGATTGGTCAAGAACTCACTGTTCAAAGAACTTGATTGGCTAGAATTTTCAAACCAGAATGTAACCACTGCATGTCTAGTGGTGACGTGAATATAAGCTATATCACTCGAGCCTGTCACCACTCTGTATTGTACAAAAAAACACTGATCTGGTTGGGCAAGACCTTAGCAGAGCAAGGCACACTACATTAGCTGTCTACTTTCTTAATCATAAGTAGACTGGTTAAGCATATAGTGAAACTAATAGAATACAAAAATATCTTTTGTAACTCACCTCTCCAAACTTCTTTGCAGCGTCATCTCCGATGGCATTGTTGGCAATGGAGAGAACTAAAAGTGTCCTGTTCATCCTCAAACCCTGGGAAGAACAATTATGGAGGTCTTTGAAATAATAATTGTGTATCAGTGCCATTGAGATGTCATTCCAAAGTAGACAATCATCTTTTACTTGGAATTGAAGGGAAAATGAATCTAAGATTAGAAACATTCAAGTACAGTAGATTCTGCGTATCTGAAACATTCAAGTACAGTAGATTCTGCGTATCTGCGGTATTCAAATTTTCAAAAGCAGCGCACATGGCTCAGGCGAAATGTGTTCAAATTTTTCTATGGAACATTTGGAAGCCCGGGCCATACCGTAAATTATGTCCTACCTGGGCCGCGATTACGTTCGATACGGGTGTTCCGGCCCGTGTGATAACTAGCGGTACGGCCCGGGGGTTCTAAACGCGTACAGCCCGGCCCTTCCAAATGTTCCATAGAAAGATTCGAACGTGTTTCGCCCTAACCGCGTGCAACGCTTCCGAAAATTCGAATGCAAAATTTGGACGTTGGAATTGATGTTGTTGCGTTTTTTGGGATTAGGGACACCAAATTTTTGCTCATTTTGCATTGAAAGGCGCGTTTTCGTGGGTGGGTATGACATAAATAAAATACAACACGGTGTATTCCGCATCACCCTCGGTCCCAGCCCTCCCGCGGATCAGATCTCCCTCCGGCCTTCGGCCATCGGGCGATCCGACGCTCGGTCGGGCTGGTACATCGGGCGATACGGAATACCCCGTGTTGTATTCTATATGTACAACCTGGTCCAGAACACCATTATCGAAGGTTATCATGGCCACAGTATGATATAAAACAATTTTTAACCATTAAGTAAACTAAATCATTTTGTACTGAAAATGTCTTCCTAGACAGATTCATAACTAATTTCCCATTCTATAAAAAAAAAGAACTGATATCCATTTCTACTAAGCAGAAGCACAATCATGACTGCAGTCTACTCACATTAGCGATGTGGCAGGCCCCTGCATCTGTGATGAGGTTACTGTTGAGGTTGAGGGCACACAGACTCTGGTTCCGTGTCTTGGCTGTGGACAGCGCCTTCCCAATCAGCTCTGCACCCTTGTCTGTTATCTTACAGCTTCTCAGGGACATGCTCACAATCCTGTACAGAACAACAACAGATAGGCAAAAGGTTGGTGAGCATATCATACAAAATGATTGGCTAACACCATATCATATTACTGGTACATGTATCAGGTGTTCAAGTGGGGATCTTCAGCATAGCTGGTCACTGATTTTACAACTGAATCTACCACATGATAATACCAGAATAACCAGAATGTAGTAAACTTTTTAAGCATGCCTTATGAGCAGAACACTTAACTTCTCTTCTTCGCAAGCTCCAAAGAGAAGACCACTTCCTGTCTATGTACACAAACACAGAATATGAGGTAGTAAATTTAAAAAAATATGAGCTGGTTCGTACATGCTGTCCTCTCCTATCAGCTGATGAAAACCTTCCCCTGGCACAGGGTTCCCGTCCAGCTTGACAGTCCTGGGGTAAATAACAACAATCATCATTAACTCTTGGACACAGATTTGACAACAACAACAACGACTTCATTTTCTGTTGGCAATTCAACATTTTGCAGGTGATTTGCTGAGCATATGGTTCTCGACAAATCTCATCAGGAGTATTACTCTAACTAGCTTTGAAAATGGTGACAGACCGTGGTAAGAGTTCAAAGTTCTATAGGATGCAGCAAATACAAGACTAATCTACTTAAGGACTGTGTCAACCAACAATGCCTTACCTGAGATTGAGACACTGTGAAGCAACTGCTGCAAACTGAGCCAGAGTGTTGTCTGTCAGACCCACGTTCCAGAAGCTGTGGACAATAGGGAAAGTCAAAGTGTCAGCAATAGCATAGTCCTACATGAGAACAAATTTAGTGTTGCCATAGTGGCAGTCTTCAATTGGTACTAAAAATCTATTGTCTGACCTCACCAACCGTCCAGAATCTGTCTCACTTTTAGAAGTCATATATATCTGAATCGGTTATCTCCTATCACTGTCCAATCTAAAGCATAGAGCAACAAGTTTCAAAATCTATAACTGTGTCTGCTTGGCATGCTTAACATTGCATGACACTAGCAGATTCTCTCACTTACTCGATTGTATGCAGCTTGTCTGCTGCTGGGAAACATTGCTTGAAGATGTCGATGTACTTCTGGTCCACTTTCCAACCTGGAACAGAAATTTATTGTCTGATTTAAAAATGCATGTGATGTAGCCAGGCCTTACAACATGGATGCATTTTCAAACAACAAACAACTGTATCACTCTTTCATCTACCTACAGACAAACCCTGCATTCTCACTAAAAAAGTTGATCTCTTACAAGATGTTTGAAGCAACTGATAAGCATCATACAAGCCCAAACAAGAAGACTGCCAAATCCTTCCCATTTACCTCTTATGTAGACCTCTGTCATGCTCTTCTTGTCCTCAGGTTTCTCCAGTTCCACCTGTACCTTTGGTCTGAAGTAGTCAAACTTGTCGCTGGTAGTGTAGGTGGTGGGAGGGGGCTCCTCCTGCTCAGAGGGCACCGGCGATGTCGGCTCCTCCACTTTCTCCTGCACCAAATCAGCAGTTAATAAAACTACCTCCTCTAATACAGCACATCTGAAAGCCTTTCTATACTTTGTAATGTTGTAAAATGGTGCTGCAGGTCTGTCTCTTACAGACGATTTGCTGGTTGTTGTGAAGACATGTTGAGTGTGTGGTGGACCTGTCGGGTTTGTTCTCAGTAATTTACACCCTAAGCAACCTGTATGTTGTTTATGGTGAATTTTCAAGAGATATCTTGACTTGAAATTGGCACAATTGCCATGTTCACAAAATTCACTTGTCGATGGTTTGTCTGTATGTGGTTGTGTTTCCATAAGGACCAAGTTGAAAACGATAAAGGTAGTTGAGTGTAGCAGTCTTACATACAGAAGAACACCAGTCCTGTGGTTACATGTAGTCACCAATGATCACCTAACCACAATTTGTGATAGTAGCTGCACTCTTCTACCATTCCTCTATAAGCAAAAAGACCCTTCACCTTATTATTTAACACCATATGAGTTTCATACCTTTCACCTCTAAAACACCATTATCAGTTTCAACCCTTCACCTGTTGCTTACGCTGTTGAAGGTATGTTAACACCTTATAATGTTGTAGGCTATGTTGAAGAAACACATCTATAGAATTACCTAGAACAAGACTTATTTGTAATATAGAGCTAGCCTGGTATTCGTATATATTCAGCTACCTGGTTCCTGTCCAGGTATTGGCAATGGATTCTTGGATCCAGGTAGCTGATTATGGATGGATACCAGACTAATACAGAGCTGACTATAGCCACTGAAGTTTTCAGTAGGGATATGCTATCATGACTAGCAGTTAGGATACCTTGCCCACCGCTACTGCCACCTACACCGAGCTGTTATGGGGAGGGTTCTGCTATTAGTAGTGACAACCACACACTTACCATACGTGTGCTACGAGCACTTTTACAACTCTCTCTTTGGGACATGGGGGTGGCACACTTGTTCAGGGGGAGAATGCAACAGTTAGACATTAGTATTGAATTGCCACTCTCTAATAACCTGGGATATCATTAGGATGGTCTGCTGACTGGATATCTATACACTCAGGTTACTTTGAATTAAAGCAAAAAGTTTAGTACATTTGATGTTCCATATACTGGCTTCAAAGAAAATAGACAGAAACACTTCAAAGAAATGAATACATAAGTGTCCAAACCTATTTTAACTACCTAGTCTCTTTTGACCTCTCCGCAAACAGCGAACTTAGAGACAATTAAGGCAAATGGCAAAATAGACATGGCAACTAGGATAGGTTTGGACACCAGGCTAATGAATACAGGTTTCAAATCTATAGAAAATGATTAGCTTGGGATTTGATAATTTCTGTTAGGACTCCAAACATACTTTACATATTAAGTAAAAGGCTGTACCTTAGGGTCAGGAGGTGGAGGTGGTCCTGGCCTATGGGGCCTTGGCACCACCTTAGGGATCTCCATGAGCCCCGCCCGGTTACACAGTTCTGTATAATCCGCTTCAAAATCACCTGTACAGCTGTACGGCTCTGAAATCAACAACAAGCACATGAAATTCAAATACTGTACAAATAATGTACAAATCCTATCTACATAATGATAGCAGAGCCACTTATCACACTACTACCTATCAGATAATTTATTTGTGCATATACTAGTAAATACAGTCACTTTAGAAATGCATAATTATGATATGAACTATGATGAATTATGATATGAATAAGTTATACATGTGTATTAGCAATTTCCCAATTTTTGTGTACTGATAAGGCAAAGCTATATTAAAACATGTTGCAAACGATCACAGGTAAAAGAAACCTTAACGTGTACGTGGAACCAACACCAGGCAAGACACCATACCAGGAGATTTAGTACCGTCTACATCCGAGGTGTCATGTGAGGTGGCCGAGGTGGCACTGCGGTCCCCCTTCATCACTCTCTCCAGCTTCTTCCCCATCTTCACTTTCTTTGCCGCACTGCAGAAAACACAACTTTTCATTATTATGCTTGAACTTCAAAGGATGACCTTTATTAAACTCCTAAGTAGAATTATCTATCTGGTAGGTAATGGGTGAGAACAAATCAGATCCAAGTATACTATGTACAAACAACCAGCTGGCCAGAAAACATACAAAGATGCTGTGAACAGTGCATGCAAATGTGACAGTACATGTACATGAACTTCAATACTTGACACAGGAAAGTTTTGAGTGTGTCAACTGTCAAAACTTAATCTGATACTCTCTCTGTCATCTTCTGTGACCACTTTCAATTCAATACATAATACTGTTACTATAACATTGTGGCCTTCTTGGACAATTACCTGCTCTAAAGTTATGTGAAAGTGACACAAACAATGAGCTGAAGTCTGTCCTTTATATAATCTGAGGTGTGTTTCAACTTTTCAACACTGAAAACTCTGCAAGGTGAACATCACACAGGTGACACACACACACAGGTGTACCAGAATCACCTGAACTGCAGCAGGCACACCTACGGACATGAGGAAACTTCACGTCAGGCATAAGGGTAGAATTTGAGCATGAAAAAAAAATGTTTCAAGTTTCAACAATATGTAGCATTTGTCTTGGGGTGTGTGGAGATTCAGATTCTGAAAATCTGATTTAGATTGTTTTGTCCTTTGTGTAATGCAGCCCCGGAGTAAGTCGTTTGTACCTAAAAAGTTGAGATATTGTGAGCAGGACTTGTTTTGCATTCATTCCTGACATACCTTCTGATCAAAACTCATGATTAGTTTCAGGCAAGATAAAATGTTTTGTAAATATTTTCCATCTTTTTGAGCACTGCCCCCCCCCCAAGTTTCTCAACTACTACTACTAGTTGTTACACCTTCTCTACTAGTGATGCTTTTAAACTTTTAACCTCGCCCTTTCTGAACAGCCCTAGAAGATCTTTTTTGCCCACAGAAGCACACATGCCTACTTACAGGCACACGGCGCCATAACAGCAGCACGGAAGGACTTGACACCAAACAGAACAAGTGACCTGTAAACATACTTGGACTACCAAAAGTAAAACACACATTTGGCCGCAAAAACTTTCATGTAACGCGAATTCTAGGATCTTGAAGTAACTGCCGACTGTGCCGTGGTTTGCTTACCGTGCTACTGAGTGAACAAGTTGTCTGCCTTTGTCCCAGAGTGGGTCAAGTTTGCCAAAGGTCGATGTTTTTGACAAACGTGAACAGCAGAGATTTATTTACAGAAGAAGCCGCGCAACACCCAGTTTGACACAACTTCATGACTACGCTAGAAAGTAGTCCGCATGAAAAACAGCCTATAGCTTTTGAACAAACGAACAGAAAGTGCTAAATTCTGCACAGATTCAGGAAAACAATATAAGGTAAAGGACAAAATTAATCTGATTCGCAGATTTTGCGAATTTCCTGTGTGAAAATACTTGGAGACAGACGGAAATATATCAATGCGCGGAATGTTGTCTCTAGCAACTAAACCCTGCGCACTGGGCTCTGCGCACAGGTGAGGCGGGAGCCTCGTTCTGGTGACAAAACTTTGGAACAGGTAAACAAATTTCAAGAACGGTGTGTATGTCTTTCAGAGTTTTGATACACCGTGTCAAATGGCAACGACTTTTTATGCAAACATCGCAAAGTCAACACAAAACTGGAAAACCCCATTCGTAGGACACAAACAATTTTCTTGACAGCGTGGTTTGTATATAATTTGTGTGATTTATAGTCGATAATGCCTGTAGTTTTCAGACGAGTAAAAAGCCAATAAGTCACTCTTGACATCAAATCATGAATGTGCATAAACATTCGTATGATCCTTTTTACGAAGAAAATTGACCTTACAATGGTTAAGAATATTCATAGTATTGCATATTGTGGACCACTATATGTAAAACAACCAAACATGTCGCTGTTTTGCGTAGGTCGGAGTCTAAGGAAGAAGAAATTCTTTATCTAACAGACGAGAACAGCGAGTTGATAGTGTTTGTCTTGCGCTGATGTTATGTATTGTTATACACTTGTCCCTATGGACACTACCCGAGATAACCTTTATTTGGAGATTCAAAATTATACGGTTGCTTTGATTGATCTCCTATACAATTGATAACTACCAGTCCGACAACTGCTCAACACCAGGAGACCCAATTTGATACAACAGACAATTTTCTTCTTCTTTTTTTTTTTCTCTCAAATGTATTGGACTAAGCACCAAACGCGCCGTGCATGTGCTTGCAGCTGATACGGTTATTTTGTGCTGAAACGTTAAGGACAGGTCGAGAGTGCTGCAATACCTTTGCAGTTTGCACCCTGTGATGTGGTATTGTTCCCTACGTTGACCTTCGAACAAATAATCTGTAACATGTTTTCTTTACAACAGATGAATATTGACAACAGATGAATATTGACCAACACCATGAGATGCACAATGCACAAATAATGTGTAAAATAGTTTCCCTCGATTTTTCATAGACTCTTAAAGTTCAGGAAAAGGGCAGGGAAGTGATATACTTAATTAAGCACACGTGCACTGAATACAGGAGTTGCTCTACCAAAACATCTGCCTTCAACATCGCTAAAGGATTGAACGAAAGACGCGACAAACACCTGTAGTGTCGTATCAGTTTCTTTCAGCTAGAGAAGGAGAGAAGGTAGCGAGTGGGGGGACAGAATCCGTTGAGTGGGAATTCCGGAAATCCATTCATCAAAACGTTGGCTTACCTCTTAAACAGCTCCTTCCCAGACAGTCGCGATTCTGGGCGGTCGCTCATTATTGTGTCTAAAACTGACCAACGTCGACCCGTCGTGCGGTTTTCAGAACTCTATCCGCAACTTTTTCAGTGGTTCGCCATGCAAGACTGAATGCGAATGGCGCACCTCTCGGTCTCACGTAAACAGAAGGTACTTGTAACAATGAGCGTCACGGCTAATCCCCCATAACAGTCAGAACGTATAGACGGATCAAAATGCCGAGGAGTCCGATTCGTCACCTGTTCTCACCCCGCCTACACAGCCAGCGTGGCGCCCCCTAACGCAGGGTGAAGATCGGCAGGGCCACCATGACCAAAACATGACCAAAACCCAAGCAGAGGTTTGGCTTTGGCTTATTTTTGGCGTGTTTTTAGACTTTTTACGTTTGGCGAGAAAGAAAATCCCAATGCAAAAAAGAAACCCCGATAAAAAAAAGCCTAAAACACGCCAAAAATAAGCCAAAACCCAAACCTCTGCTTGGAGAGCAGAACCATGACCCGGGTTTCAACCAAAAACAAACACCTGCTTTTGATCTCGACGTTTACAGAAAGTCGTATGGCAGGTTCATGTAACAGCCTGTATGACCGGTGAGTTAAGAAGTGTGATTGTGCAGTTGTTTTGGGGCAAGGCCAAGCCTCAACAGGACCGTCACGTCGTTTACAGGTGCCCTTTTGTGGATGGCTTTAGACGTCCACAAGGCGAATGGGAACGGACGCGACTTCAAGGCTTTATGTACATCGACCCAGTTTGTTGACAGTTCCGGAGGCGAAGGTCCTATGTCCAAAATCATCCAACCAGGCTGACCAACCACGAAAACAGATTATGATAACGATGATAATGCTGCAATTGAAATCGTGCTCCTGTTATCGCGTCTAAAGTAAACTTGCTCTGGACTTTAGGGTAACCGTGTATCCTTAATAACCGTAAATGACCGGGAGCATTAACTACTAATGTGACAAAGAGGGAGTCGTTTCAACAACACATACACATCCGACGCTATTGTTGACTATCAAAGTGAACCACGGGGCTATATACTTCAATGAAAGCCTCTAATTGCCAAAGGCTCAACTTTTGGCCTGTGAGTGGGTAGTCTGACAACGCATTCATTGTACCATAGTCCCACAAAGCAAGACACGGTATTATAGTACTAGTAACTGACAACTGTTATAAACACAGGTACGAGTCTATTGTGCACAATTCTCTTGACGGGTATGTCAGTGAAGTTATTTTACTTGAACACAATATGTTTGACTACAGGCTGATCATTGGGCTACGATCTAATCTGAATTGGTGTATACGCCAATGTCTCCACGCAACGAAAAGTACTTTCCTGACAACTTAACAAGGGGCATAAATTTCCCGATCTGTTTTACTAGCTTCTACCATTGTTGGTGACCACCATATAGTCAGTGGTATCGGTTTGTATGTCAGTAAATAGATCATAAACATGATGCCTGCCTGCAGTAGTAAATAGCTAGTGGGACGTCTATCAAGTAACCTCGCGTCAGCCACTAATTCTGTTTGAACTATTCTAGCACTGCTCACGTCACACTTTTGCAAGGTCATATCGTAGCGACCCAAACCAACTTCCCAGCCAGCCTTCCGACGACCGAAGGTCTAGTACAAATTTCGACGTACCAGTGATTTATGTTTGTAAATAGCTTTATACTATCTCCATAAGTACAATGTTATTTATCAATGCATATGAACTTAGTTATCCGAGTCCTATAAATGCTAGCTGGGAACATAGATACCACATCGACAAAGACACTGTTGCTATGCACTGTATGTCGCAAGGTGGCGCCTTTCATACACTAAACGTCTATCGCTAGGACCATCTCTATGGTAGACATCCACGCCAAACATGAAACCAATAGTGCAGCCGAATATAAGAACAAAACAAGGATACCTGCTTTGGTTTAACTGCACCAAACGAGTTTCAGTTAGTGATGATTTGGTAATCAAGGAATCTTTTAACAGCTCAGTTTCAAGGTTTCACGATGCATGTACCTCTCTATAGAAACAGGTGTCTGTCATCGTATAACGGTTGGGGTCATAAAAACCGTCTAGAAACATGACGGACGACGTCTGCCCTATTGTCCTGCAACTGTATGGAGACGAACCGTGGGAACAACAGATAAATCACGTCTGAAAATTAAAATATATCCGATCATCATACTGGTCACAAATTTGTGCCACATCGGGGGATTGTTTTAATAATCATACGGTAGCCCGGTAGCCCCTTCATTTTGTTAGCCTGTGTACCATCCTGATTAGCGACTATAGGAGCGGACGTAACCGGGGTGGTACCCAGGCTATCAATTTGGTGGAACAAAGCTCAAAGAATGCTGCAGCTAGGGTCAAATAGTATCAGCATATTTTTGCTGCCTCACTAGTGAAAATATTGTCCTGTAGAATAGTGAAAATAACACCACAGCAAGAATACAAACCCTTTAGGAGAAAACAGTTTCTTGAGAATCATGTTGCCGAGTTTGGACCGCGGCCGGGCTACCAGTCTTGGTCGGGTCTTCGTGGCCGACGCCCGCCCGTCCGCCACCGTCGGTGAGTCCTTCCCGCTCCCGTCTGACGGCGGAGCACTCTCAGGCTCGTCTTCAGTCTCCGCTAGTCTCATTTTCCACTTACTCGGGCCTGTGGGCGGTGTAGGTTTCCTAGGAGACTTTGGAGTTTCTTCCTTTACACTGTCGGGAGTTTTCGTGCCCGAACTGTCGATTGGTTTGGGCGATGGTGAAGTCGAGTTATCTGGGGTTTTTGTCCCCGCCGCTGACATGGTACCAGCGCTGTCGCGACCGTCTTCCGACGCCGGTGTTGCAACTTTTATCTCCGGAGAAGCGGCCTGGTCACTGTTGACGTTCTCAGGCGCCTCCTCTTCGTCGTCTTCCTCGTCCGCCTCCTCCTCCGCCATTCTCCTAAGAAGTCCCCACATGATGATGTCTACTCGCGATCACTCCCGAGCAGGTTGTACCGTAGTCTTGTCCTGCTTCGCAGAAAGTCCACCTTCAATTGACCCGATGTGTTAGGCTCTACCCGCTACCCTGGCTCTCCTAGCAACCAATGTGGATGCGTTACGTGCGCTGTCACACACGTGTCAGTACAACAGTACGGGCTGGGTGAAATATTGTGAGCAACAAGTTCGACTTATTAAGTCCATATCACTGACTCACATTCAGTGACCCAAGATGTACGCAAACTAGCATACATCTGATCATTTTATCTTACTTCCGGTTGGTGGAACATAGGATATAGGAATTTTTTTACACTCCTTCTATGTCATTTTATCTTATTCTCCTTATCGATATTGGTAATGGGAACATATCGCAAGAGTAGTCAACATTACGACCTAGTTCTTACTCTTTATGTCAAAGTGAGCGGATGTATCTTTCATAAATGGTGATAGAAAATAATCTACGTAAACAGGACCTTGCCTCAGGTCTAATTGTTGATAAACCACTTAGTCTTCAGGAAATGCTGCGCTATTTGTGTGTTATATACACCATAACGCACGGGTGACACGCAAGAGGGCCATTTTGAAAACCTTTTTAATACCACTGACCTTTCTGCCAAATAACACAACAGACACGCGAATGCTATTGTGTATTCACGCATCGATGGGTAAAATACAAAATAAACATGTGCTCAGGGGGCAAGAATGGTGACGTGGATTGAGTTTATGCGGAGTCTTGTCTGTGTGAAAAAGAAATACGGAGTGACCTCTAGGGCATTACTCAGTGTTACATGATTGTATGTTGCAAGGGGAGGATGCGAGGGCTGCCGAAAACTGAAAGAACTGGTGAGAAATGAACGCAACAAACGGATGTCACAGTAAACGACAAATGCATATAGGTAACCCCATGGTACAGTATACAGGCTTTAACATTGGACATAGGACGCCCCAAAGGTAATACTAGTATAAGCCGGCCCTGTGAGCTCCGGGAATCATTCTTACTTACGATCCGCCACTAAAAGGAAAGACTAAATGCAGGTGGGAAAGACATGAATCTGTGCCGTCTGCCGCATTGTCCGGGAATGCATGTAACCATGCGTGAGAGCTACTTCACTGAAGTGTTTAAAAAGGTAGACGACGGCGTATCTATGCACAGACAAGAGGAAAATAACATAATTCTATACGTAAATTATTGGTATGTGCAATGAGTGAAAATCACTCATGCTACGGTGCGTTTAGTTATTTTTTTATCGACAGTATTTACAGAGTCTGGCCAACATAATATAACAAAGTTTGCGAACTTTTAACAACTATGTATACCGTGACAAACTCTCAAAAAGGCATTTGTCGTGTGTGACTTGACTAAATGATCCACACAAAAAGATCAGCATTGACAAAGTAGTAACAGATAGGCAAATGTATATCACGGTAAGCACTATCCTATATGAAGACATCTACGGCTTGTTTCCTACGTCTTTTGGCAATTTAGTACGCCCATGAAGTTTAACGTCATTTAATTTCCAGGCAACAGGTAACGAGGCAACTGATTTTGGCCCTAACGTCTCAATTAGAAACTCTTCCGAACACCACATGTCTGAGAGAGCGAAAACCGCACGTATGAAAGCTCACCTGCGAAAGACGTCCAGTCCACTCCTGCCCTCCATCTTAAGGTCACAGGGGCAGCACAGACCTTGGTCGTAAGATTTTTATCTGAAATATTGTTTTGTCCACAAACTGACACAATATGCTTCCGTTTACGTTTCAGTCAGCCAAGTTTGCCGGGACTGATGTCTGGTCTACACCGTACGCCTGGGGTTGTCCGACCGCTTTGCCGTTTATGGGAGTCGCCGTTTGAAGCTTGATCTGTGGCTGCTACGTGATTAATACAGACTAATCTGATTTCGAGCCATGGAAACGGCGACAAAGGGTATAGAAGGCATTGTGGACACCAGTTGGCCACAGGCAGGACCTAAACGAGGGGGAACAATACTCGCCCCCCAGCGAGCCGTGAGCGGAACGTGAGCTTTCATGACAACATGCCTGCTTAATCAGGACAATTACGGCTCCGATCACCATGCAGGTGTCACATCGGCCCTGCCGTACATTGTGCTTGTCTTGTCTGCCAAGTTCTCTTTTGTCGGTGTCCTTTTCAAGACAGATGAGGTAGGTTAAAAACCCAGCGTTAAACATCTGCTTTGGCAGCAAACAGGTGTTGGGTCAACTCAGTGGATGTTCGAACAAGTACTGCAAATTGTTGACATAGATAAATACAAGCTCAAATGTCCACCCAAGACGAATTAGGTCAGTAACAATAGCTGAAGGAAGTTACACTACAGTGACTGAGTGGCTGTAATGTGTACATAAAGGTGCGTGGTTTCTCGGGAAGAAACTTCATTAGAAACTAATTTCAAGAACAGCTCTGTCAAAGCATATTCCCGCTCATGCATGGCAAACGGGCGATCGTGTTCACTAGCCATTTTGCTAAGGTGCCGAAGTATGCTATTCTGTCCCGCTGTCAAACAATGAAAAGTTCTGGCATCAACTTGTAAACAAACGTGGTTCTCACTGCAGTTCCATTTAAAATCACAAGGAGCGCTGTTACAGGTAGACATCTACATTCGTGGAATGCATTGACCTGTGCAGTAATCTTTGTTGTGCAAACACTGTAAAGGGATATAAAAAGCAACTGTGCCCACAACTGTTAAGTGGAATAGACGGATATAAAGTTATGATACTGCAACACAGACTGCAGGCTGTATTGGAATTCTAGTTTATTTGCTTTTGCTGCACGGGTAATCTCCAAGCAGATCTTTTTGTGGCTACAAAGACAATATCGAATTGGCCAAGAAGTATCCATTTGCCCGACAGTTACCTTTGGACTAGAGTAAAAAAAAAAATTCCAGTACAGAAAAGAAAGCCGACCGGATTTAAAAAAAAAACGCCTAAAAAAACATGTAAAAAAATAGGCCGCCGCCTAAACCTCTTCTTGGAGAGTATCGCACGAGTACTTATCAGTTGATCCCCGGCTTTCTGTTCCCATGTCCGGAATTATCCGTGACATCTCCCTACAGTCCGGAGTGGAGCCAGGAGTATGAGCCCGGGTCATGTGTCCGTGTAATCTCCCTGTCTCACGGTCTGTCAGCACATATCCACGGGTAATCTCCAAGCAGATCCTAAGGTGGCGTATTGAACGTAGTCTCCACCAGACTTCTTTTGCGGGGTGAATAAATCGTAGAAATCGGCCTAAAAGGGTATTAATTGGCCAGAGAAGGTAGCCAGCCAGAGAAGCTCCAGGGCCTGGCCAATTAATACCCTTTTAGGTCGATTTCTACGATTTATTCACCCCGCAAAAGTCTGGTGGAGACTACCTCTTTCCCACCACTTGACCTTTAATTTCTACCCAATAGAACGATGTTTCATTTGTTTTAGGTTCATCTATTACGCGGATAGTGGTTGCTTAACCCGACTAATCTTTACTAGTGTATTTGCTTCATAAACACCTCTTCTGTCTATTGGGATGATTTGTTGACTGTCATGATAGATGTTTACCGTTTGGTTAGTGATTTATGCATCATCTGGACACTTTCGAATGGTAACGACGTATCAGGCGTAAAGATAACCCTTGCAGGTATTCTCCAAGCAGATCTGTTGGTGGCTGCAAAACAGTATCAAATTGGCCAGGCTGTATCCATTAGCCAGACAGTTACCATTTTGCCACCCTTGGGTAACTGGCCAATGGATACTGCCAAAAGATCTGCTTGGAGATTACTAACAGGTAACAGAACCCAGTACACTTATCGAGAGGAAGGGGTGCAGTGGTGGCTTGCAATTGGTTGAAGTGAGGTGCTTGGCTGGGTGATTGTTGAAAAAAAAGTCATGTTTCCTGCATTGTAAATTGTCAATCTGAAGTTGCATATTGATATTCGAAGGTTGCGAAAATATGAATACAAATGTTACGGTTGTAATACACAAAACAAAAACGTGTGACGACCGAGCCAGACAGGATTCGAACCTGCAATCTTCTGATCCGAAGTCAGACGCGTTATCCATTACGCTACTGGCCCTACGTACTTTCTTAATCACGAAAGGTATATGTGACCAGCAATCCTGAAAACTCTATCCCGCCCTCGTTTCATACGAGTACCAAACCGGAACTCTGATGAATTAAAGGTAACACTACAAGAATGCAGGGGCACGGCTGTTATGCCACAAATTATTCAATTGGATAAGCCGTTTGTCAAAGAAATCAGACAGTTTGTGTCATCTGTCTATCCACGTGTGATAAAATTTAAAGAAGCGAAAGTACGCGTGTCTGTGGAATGGACTTCGAGAGGCAAACGCCATATGCAATTCTTGCATATTGCAGCAGTGTTTCTGAACACTTCGTAAGCCAACTGGTAACTGTACTCTCAATAAAAACACACCTACATGTAAACACGATAAAGCATGGCTACAAACCTAAAGCCCCTTTGTTCAGAACTAAATACCTTCCCTTGTCCGTTGTCCGGGTAACAATGCCCTATACACCTGGCCTCCTTTCAGGTGTGTCATTTGTTTAAATCCACCCAACAACACCAAATGGCGTTCTAACGATCGCGGTGCTGTTGCCGTAACCCTGCAGAATTCTTTACTTATCAAAGCGATTAGTAACGCCGTTGTTTGTAGAACACTTACTCGGGGGAGCGGTTCAAGGTACCGGCCACCTGGTCCCCTTTATGCGCCGATGGCAGGCCGGGTGTTTGTGCAATATAAGTGGTATTTTGATCGGCCACTATTGCTTGCTTTCCCCCGACAGTTCCGGGGTTTCATGTATATAACAGTGGCTATTAGATCTATACTCTGAGGAGGTACAGTCGACAATGGGTTTCGTTGATACAAAAACACGTCTAGAGGCTCTACTATACTGACGCTATCGGCAACCAGGGTCACAGCACACGGACGGCTTAGGTATAATCCATTTGTTATTGTATTCTATGGATTCTATCTTACAGGGTGGACTTTGAAGTTCCATTAACTTAACTATCAGAAGAGTTTCTATTACACAATACTGAACGCAGTCATGCCAAGAAAATGGCAAGAGAAAGAAACATATAGTTGCAACCAAATTACATCAGTCCTAACAGTACAAATAGAATGCTAGGCTGTAACGTTACCGCTAAGTAACGTTAGAAACACCTCATGTAACCCAAACTGTATCAGTTCTAACAGTACAAATAAATTGGCCTGAAGTACCGTTAGTGCTAGGTAACGTTAGAGAAATTCCTCATGTAACGTTAACCTAAACTGCATCAGTTCTAATAGTACAAATAAAATGTTAAGATGTAACGTTACCGCTAAGTAACGTACCGCTAAGTAACGTTAGAAACACCTCATGTAACCCAAACCGCATCGATTCGAACAGTACAAATAAAATGGTCTGAAGTAGCGTTAGTGCTAGGTAACGTTAGAAATTCCTCATGCAACTCAACTGCATCAGCGCTAACGGTACAAATAAAATGGTCTCTTGTAACGTTACAGCTAGATAACGTTTGATACTCTCCATGCAACATAAACGGCACCAGTTCGACAGTACAAATAAAAATGGTACAACGTAACGCTACTACTCTGTTGTAACGTTAGTGCTAGGGGATCCTAGGTTACGTTAGAGACTCCCACACGATCTACCTAGATAACCTTGCGCCCTTGACACTCATGCCTGAAGCATCCCTAACAACGTCATATCAACGGGCAGCGATAACACCTCCCACGGCGGAGTCGTTACCTCAGTCAACCCATTGTCGTCCCGTTAAAAATTACCACTTACTTGTAAGAGACACTACAGTCATTTGATTTCACCATTACAGGGGATCCTAGGAAGCTGGGAGAAAAGCTTGTACTAAAAACCCACAGACTAAATTTGTACTAATAACCCACGTGAAAGCTACCTCTGTTAAGTTCCTGTCTTGTGTTGTATATTGTCCTGTTACCAGGCCTCCTGGTTGTATGTCATACAGCCTAATAAATCAAATCAAATCAAATCAAACTCATATAAGGTACTGATACATTGATTAGAGATATATATTTTAACAAGTCAACAGCATTATGAAATCGTAAGCATTTAACAAAAAAAAACGTCTAGTTTTTGTATTACGTGTCATCATTCCAACAATTCCCGCATATTTTTGTCACTATTTATCCAGACCGGTACTTGTACTTCTGTTTGTCAAACGGGGGTCCAAGTCGAACCCTCCCTTGTCTTTCACGCATCTCGAGACGCTATTTGTTTTCCCCCCAAGGCGGTTAACAACCGCCAAATATTGTTATCAAGACATCTGAATTGACTCTAACTGGGATTATATGATATAGAATATCCTTACGTAGAATAGAACTTAAAGCCTCATTTATTTTTTTCAAAGCCCCAATTATTGCAGTCAAAGTAATCCCCATATATCTTTCAGAGTAATCAGAAACTTTAGAAGTAGTAGTCACACAAGAATGTGTCATTGAAACAAGGTCAGCGACGGGTGTCTGTTTGTCTGATGTCAATTGGGCTGGTAACAAGTCTGAACATTAGAATAGAACTGTTCTTAAAAGTCACAAATGTTTCTAGTCTACCGATACTCGGTAGTATATTGTACATTGGACTAGCAAAGGGACCGAAAACTGAAGAACACACACTAACAGCGCCTGGAGTACGTACTGACCTCTACTCGGCTTGGAAAGCGAATGAAAAGGGTTGAAATTGGCCGAATCCACAGATAACACACGGGGATTTGGTCTGCCAAAGGAGTATACAGTTTGTCGCTTCATAAGCCTGGTAGAGGCTAGGTGTGTACGGCTCCTTATATATCTGAAGCAACGTACGAAACATGCCTTACACCTGTTACACGTGAGGGCTTCTAGTGCAGTTAACGCGATCAGAGACACTACATGTATATAGCATAATATATAAACCCTATATAATTATCCCTACATCATTGATGTGATGCTACTCACGTCAGCAAGCCTCCACCAGGACCGCTTCCCCGTCCGCTCATGTTGGTAATTGGTGCTACACGCGATGACTTGTACGGAGAGACCTCGCACTGAAGCAGCCCTGCCTCCAAGGCCCCACTTGTGTTGTGTCGTCAGGGAGCGGTGTGCGGTGCCGGGGATTATTTACTAACGTCCCACAGGTTATGTTGTCAGTCTACACACGCCTTCTTCCCGCGTCAAAACGGCTAATCGGATCCCGCCTTTCAGGGGCGCTGAACTGTAAGCCTCGAGTCAACAACTCCGCCGAGTGGCTGCGATGAGAAGTCACGTACTGCGCCGACGGGTCTTCCTGTTATCTGAAATGGTAAACTAACAGTCACAAACAGTTTTATTTGGACAAGTGCCGATTGGCTTGGAGTCGACATTATACAGCTTCAACTGGGTAATTTTAGGGTGAAGACAGACTCAAGTTCTATATTTCAGTAACACATTTACATCGACTTACCTGTGTTCCTCGCGCGTGATGTGACTATTGACCTAATTAAACAGGAATGACTGATAGGGGTGTAAAGAAACGTTACATTCTTATATTATCGGAAAAAAGTCGAACCCAATAAGTTACACTTAAGGGTCAAAATTTAGACTAGTCACATGCTATATTGTTATCCATTTTCCTTCCTTTTATTTTCATGGTACGCGTACGCAATTAGCCTCCCAGCAAGAACTTGCAATCAAGTTCCTCAGTATTCCTCTGACATTTGTCCTGTTCTAATGAAGTTTGTTGCGGCGTCATGACGTCAAATGTTTCTACACGTGACGTCATATGCGTCCTGACGTGTTTGTTGAACAAAGCTCATACCTATGTGTGTTATATAGACATAGAGTAGAGAGTATAGAGTAGTTGACAAATCATCAAATAATCATTTCTTAACAAGGCGTGATAGTCACACCACCAGGATATTATTCAGCAATAAATTGTTTAAATTGCACCAAAGTCACGGCTCAACGTTTGCCTCAAAGTCTGATCACTGTTTATTTTCTCTAGGAACAGAAGTACTCAAGGTATCATGTTTGGAACGATGGTGATTTCAAGACGACAAAGTTTTTGTTGAGTTTAGCTTTGAGCCTGTCGCAAGTAGTTCTAATTTCATGACTAATTTCATGTTTGATATATATTTCTGTTGCCCGGGGTTTCGCTCTCTCCTGTCAGACAGCACCTCTTCAGGGTTATGATAATGTATACTTGACACTTGCTCCGTTACGTAACTCAGACCGTGAGTAGAAAACCAAGCCGAGCCTCTAGACTGCCCATTCATCCCCGCCTGTATCACCGATTGTCGCTAACGGACTAACACGGTGTACCGTTACACCCCAGGCCCTCCCACACTTCACCACACAATGTCAAAGAAAAACGCTGCATTCACCAAAGGAACAGCATAAGAGAGATCTTTCTCACAACACGTCCCGGTCGAGGACATTTGCGCATGCAGTGTGTGGTGACCGATATTTTTTTCTCAAAATAAGGCGCTGTTGAACAAATGAGATACAAACTTACATATACTGTATAATATACATACTCTTCATTGAAAGTAGATTGCACAGCTGTCAAATATAGCAAATATGAATGTTTTCTTTACGAAGTGCTGGCCAAAAAGTGTTAGCAACCGTAAATACAATTGTCTCAGACGGAATAGTAACATAGCTGACTGCTGTACGACAGTGGCTTTACGGATAACGTATATAAATACGTCACACCTTAAGGGTCCCAATTCACAGTTAGAGACTTTTCAAATAATTTTGAAACGCTATTCGATTGACGTACATAAACATCTCGGGGTGGTTACGAGTACAGTCGCCATAAATTTGTAGACAGTCATTTCGCTATACATGTGCTAGAATATATTCACTGTGTCAAATCCTCTGCCTGTTTGTCGGCACTAATCTTCATTCAGCCTGTATGTCCTACATGCTCAAATCCCACTCGGAGGGATCAGACAAGTTTTGTTTACAAGCCGCGGTATCTAAACGGTAAAACGGTCCAGACTGTGACACTAGGACTGCAACGGTTGTACATAGTACCCTCTGCCCGTACCCCCTGTCACAGGGCGGACTACTGTCAGTGTAGAACAAGAGTAAAAGTTTGCTGAATGTTGTGACAAGCTTACCGTTTTGTGGTCCGGCCGTGTTAACAATGCAACCCCCGCCAAACTAACAAAACAAAGCCTGTGCTTCGGGTGACCTGCCTGACAACCCTTCTATAAACGCCTGTTTACTTTGGATAACGCCAAATAGCGAAGAAGAAATCCGTCCGTCTGACTTCAGAGGATCGAGTTTGGCGGGAAACAATAGGTTGTCGTGCGCCGGGACTATACACGGACAGCGTAACCACCCAGATATGTGTCGCCATCAAAATAGATCAATTCATCCGAGTACTGCCCGGCAGCTACTTTTATTACACTTAGGAAGACTAATGTTCGTCTGTCGTCCGTCGCCATGGCAACGGTTAGTCACGTGATAGGTAGGTTTCGCAGCAACTTGACGTCATGTATTTGAGGCAGTAAATGCAGTAAGACCTTACCTATGACTTTGTACATAAGTCTGCCGTTTGTTTGTACGTTTGTAGGTATATATAATCCACAAATTTGAAGGAGTGTTATTGCAAAAATCAGGACAATTGAACGTTACCGCTCGTCTGGAGACTAATACATAACAAGACTAGACACTTAAGGGTTCTCTAGTGGGCATGACGTGTTTATAAAGAAATCAGCTGCAAAGTTTGTCCAACGAGAGAGGTTTGTGTTCAGCAAAACAGGAAAGTTTTGACAAAACTGTTGGTAGTGAAAAAGCAATCAGTGTGCCATGTTTGTCGTCCTATCCAAACATGGCTATACAAACTTTATAACTTATTAAACCGACTCCCTAGCCTCATTTTTTTTGAAACCATCATAACGTATGAAAGGTAAAACATAAAATTCTGGGGAAAAGAAGCAACTTGCACCATCGAAGACAGCATACCACTGTCTGCCTTTACTCATAAGCAAGCTGTGATGTTTACGCCCATGTCAGGGGTTAAACGTTTAACTTGACAATTTAATTAATAGTCTATCTACCAAAGCGGTTAGACAGGTTAGGGCACACGTGACCTCATGACGTATCAGGTCTCCAACATCGCCCTCCATGTTGTTACCCAGTGGGTACATACAGGTATGTAGAATTACAATTAGTATTATAAGAAGTACAACTCGAAAACTTTGACGAAGCAACTATCTTTTGTTATTGTGTACGTGGTTTTTGCTACGTTACGTAGAAAGTTAAAACATTTGCCAACTAGAGTTCCACGATCTCATACCTTCGCCAAATGATGTTAGCCTTTATGAATAAGAAATATACTAATCACCCTGATTATGCAAATAGGATCCTCAATTGCATGAATTATATCAGTCTGTTGATCATATTCTCCACCAAAAGACAGTCTTATCTTAACAAAGAATGCCATTTTCTCATAAATTATGCAAATGTGGTCCTTATTTGAATAAGTTATGTTTAATTATGTTCACCTTCACTTAACTTTCAAACACCCCAAGTATGAAATTCCAGGCAGTTACCACTATGCAATTATAACATTTTCTCATTTATTATGCAAATTAAGTCTTCATTTGCATAATCAATATTTGCCTGTGTTTCTCTCGTTCTTAATAACATGTTACAAGCTTGAACTTCCTATCATGGAATGCAGCTGATTTATAGAATTTCCTCATTAATTATGCAAATTACATCAATATTCGCATAATTGTAATATCATTATGTCAAGCATCACTTAAGCTACCTACATACCAAAAATCACGATGATCCATCAATCGGTTCTTGCGTTATCCTCTTTTAAACATTTGTCCTTTAAACCCCCCTGCAGTTCTAGAGCAAGCCGCTAGGGGGCCTAAACTCACGTCACTTCTTCCCCAGCACAAGAGCTACCTACCATCCAAATTTCATCACCATAGCATGTCTGGATCTTGAGATATCAAAACCGGAAGTTCAGCTGCAGTACCATAACAAGCCGCTAGGGGGTCCAAAATCTAATCATTTTGAGGTCTCATCAAGACCTACCCATCTACCAAGTATCAAGACAATCCATCAAGGCCTTCTCAAGTTATCGTGTTGACAGACAGACACACACACACACACATACACGAACGCCCCTGAAAACATAACCTTCTTGGCGAAGGTAACAAGGTGATGCTTCCGATAGCATGGTCTCATTTGTAGTGGAACAGCATAATTCAAGAATCTATCAATAGGTGATATTTAATATATGTCTAGGTCTTGACCTACAAAAGAAGGTATTAGATATCGAATCTCCTTGCGACTTTCTTTGGTACTGTAGCTGGCGAAGGAGTCGTGTCTCGTTTTTTTTTAACCAGTCGATCAAATTTTCTTAGGACAATTTTAACCTGACGCAAGGCTGATAAATCAGGAAAAACAGGGTAATATCACGCATGGGGAACTCTCCAATAATCAGCCGAGTAGTCTGCTCGTTGAGGATGGGCTCTTATTGTCAGTCAACCAACCCGGCCGGTCTAACAAGCCTGTAGCTGATCCAGTACACACATACAGTGACATACTTCTCATGAGCGATCGCATATGTCTCTTATTCCTGTCCTGACGCCAAGTGTGAGGATCTTCATGCTTCGTTCTCAACTCTTTGCTCAGCCTTAGACAGAAGTTGGCACTACCTTGTACAGACAACCACCTGTTTTGTCCAGGCCACAGCATGCACCTGCCCTCGACTTCTTACAGGCCAGCGAGGAGAAAAACAAGATGGCAGGCAACTGCCGCCATTTTCCTGTTGTTATGGGGAACTCTCGGAGCGATTGTGAGCCTACAGAAGTTATTTTCCGAAGAAGACGTCTCCAGAACGACGTACGCGGTGGCAGGTGGGTAGATTTAGATTCGAAGTCAGGATTTTATAAAAACGACTTCTATGGTCCGTTCTCTCCATGAGGACACGTAGTCGTCTGTTTAACATCGATTTGTCTTAATTAAGACACGCCTTCTTTCTTTGGGATGTTTTCTTTTTGTTATGAACCACATTCAGCTCTTTTCTAACGGTTGGCTACCTACGTTCTACGTTTAGTCCTAGCTAGGGACCCTCTATACCCTGGCCACTTCTTCTAGCCTATACCAGAGTTTAGAGGTGGCCGGAAAGAGTAAAAATCGGCCAAACAATAGACAGATACCATGCCAGGAAAGTTAGTCTCCAAAAGAAGTACAGTTTGCCAGTCATTCACAGCAATATGGTTCAAAATTTCGAATCATTTTCCAGATTGTCCTCTGATTAAACATATGAGAGCTCACAAAAAGTTCTCATAAACTGAGAATAGTTTTGAAATGACTGATTTTGTGATTTGAAACCGCCAGCTGTCCCCAGCCACGGCGCGCCCGCCACCAACTGTTCCCCGCCGGCCATCCACCACTTCCCCGCTGACCTGTTCACGCAGGCGCAGCGGCGTCAGGGAGCCGTCATTCTACACGTCATCGCCTCGCTATACATGTTCATGGTGAGAACAGTTCAAAGATTGATTTATTAATTCATTACTTTTTGTCAGGTACCTGACCCTTATGAACATAAGCAATAGGAGAAATGATACATGGCAACAAGAACGGCATACAGTACCTCTAAAAATACAACTACATTGTACTTGGTGAACTTGAATTTGCCCCAAGCACGCTTCTAGATACAACAGACCCTGCTAATTTAGAATCATGTGTTTAGATATCGGTACTCAGTGATAACCTTTCTTCCTGCAGGCGCTAGCCATTGTTTGCGACGACTACTTCGTACCTTCGTTGGAGAGGATCAGTGAAGGTGTGTATATCTGATACTACATGATTCCATGCCAATACAACACGTCATGAATGCACTTAACACAGCGCTTTCGATTTCTTCTGTAAGAATACATTAAGAATTATCCGTTCATTGTCTTTAAAACATTTTCTGTAGCCTCTACCGGGCTTCAGAAGCGCGGCTAGAAAGAGTAGAAATTGTCCAAGTAGGCAGATAACATGCCGGGAGAGTAGTACATGTGCAGTTTGCCGATCTGAAGGCTAATGTCTAAGGCTGTTGAATTATGTGGACTTTTTACTGCTAGGTCTGCGTCTCCAGCCGGATGTGGCCGGTGCCACGTTCATGGCGGCCGGAAGTTCTGCCCCCGAGCTCTTCACGTCCATCTTCGGCGTCTTCATCAGTCAAGACGACATCGGAGTGGGAACCATCGTGGGGTCGGCCGTCTTCAACCTGCTCTTCATCGTGGGGCTGTGCGGGCTCATGGTCGGAACGGTAAGACCTGTTACACACATCGTGGGGCTGTGCGGGCTCATGGTCGGGACGGTAAGACATGTTACACACATCGTGGGGCTGTGCGGGCTCATGGTCGGGACGGTAAGACCTGTTACACACATCTACACACACATCGTGGGGCTGTGCGGGCTCATGGTCGGGACGGTAAGACCTGTTACACACATCGTGGGGCTGTGCGGGCTCATGGTCGGGACGGTAAGACCTGTTACACACATCGTGGGGCTGTGCGGGCTCATGGTCGGGACGGTAAGACATGTTACACACATCGTGGGGCTGTGCGGGCTCATGGTCGGGACGGTAAGACATGTTACACACATCGTGGGGCTGTGCGGGCTCATGGTCGGGACGGTAAGACATGTTACACACATCGTGGGGCTGTGCGGGCTCATGGTCGGGACGGTAAGACGGAATTGTGTTATTTGAACGTTATGGCCAGCTTTGCCTACTTTTTAAAGCCTATACCAGACTTCATAAGGAGCGGCTGGAAAGAGAATGTTATAGAATGTTATCTGTCTAATTGGCCAACACTCCAGGGAATTGTTCCACTGTTCTCCTCCTGTCAAGCCTGGTAGAGGCTTTACTTTTATAGACCTCAGTCGATGTCTGGCGGCAACTAACGTAGGCCGGGTTACGCTTCTTATAAACCCTGTTGTTGCATTGATTTTTATGCTAACAACGCTTCCAGTAAAGTTAAATCTATACTCCTGGAAAAGTCGCGTTGAATCATGACAGATGATACCTAACGTGCCCTGATCCTTTTCTCCAACCAGGCCATCACCCTGACGCTGTGGCCCCTGCTGCGGGACTGCAGTGTCTACCTCATCAGCGTGGCGGCGCTCATCGTCAGTTTGTACGACGGGAAGATCCACTGGTGGGTATCGACTACTCCTCGGATCCTTCACACATCTACAGCAAGGATAGCCTCCACCAGACTATAACTGAGAACGCCGGTTCAAAAACAGTAAAATTTAGCCATATAGGGAGAAGAATTGGTCAGGGGCAATGAAACAAACCTTAACGGTGGACTCACTCCCCTGACCAGTCGGACTCTATTTTTGCTAAATCCTACCATCCTAACCCCCTTATAGAATCCTATAAATGCTGTGGCGTTGAAGACTACATGGTTCCAAAATGGGTTTAGAATTTAAAAAGGTAAAGTAAAAGTAAAGTAAAGGAAGCCTTTTTTTCACCAACTTCATGTCCATTTGCAGGTACGAAGCCGTTGTTATGGTGGTCCTGTACTGTCTGTACGTGGTGCTGATGTACTTCAACCCCCGCCTGAGCGCTCTGTTCAACTGCTGCTACCCAGGACGGGCTGGCAAGGACAACAAGGAACAGAAGGAGGACACCCTCCTCATCAAACCAGGTACAGATTCAAGGGTTAGGTGTAACAAGTCGATCGGTGTAATATAGCCAGCTGCCGCCGCGCCGCGTGCCTGCGAAGCTGGTGTGTTACGCCGAAAGGCGGTTATACCGGATATACAGATACAGATAAACACTATACTAGTAGTTGGGTAGAAATCCACAGCCTGGATGCCAGACTGTTTTTAGGGCCTACAAAGGCCAGTTCCTTGGCTCCAAGGCCAACATTCTCTTTCTCTTTGGCAGTTCAGGCCAACATGCTCCCAAGGAAATTACTAGTATACCGCAGCCCCTTTCAGTTAGACCACGATCCTCTGCCTAACCCTGGGCCAAGCATGCTATGGGTCGAGGTTGTTACTATAGACCAGAAAAGAAACCTGGCCATTTTGCCGCTATTTTAGGTACCGTAGTGGTGCCAAACAGTTTAGATTGCTCGCACGCACAGATCTAGAGAGTATAATCAGGATTTTACGTTACTTAATGTGTATCTGTTTATCACAGTTTCAGAAAAAGGCACCGTAGAAAAGATATCCCAAGAGACACCGCTTAATGTCGCGGTCACAGCCGACGAAACAGTCCGAGAAGAGCCCGAGTCTCCGTTCTCCGTCCCGTCCCAGCCCTGGAGGAGAGTATTATGGGTAGTGGGGCTGCCTCTGACCGCGCTGCTATGGGGGACCGTGCCTGACTGCCGCCGGGACAGGTGGAGAAGATGGTATCCTGTCAGCTTCCTCATGTCAGTCGTCTGGATAGGAGTCTTCACATACATACTCGTCTGGACGGTCACCGTCATAGGTACGTCGGTTTTCTGTACGCCTGTCCGCAGGTATATCGTTTTAGATCAACCAAAGATAGCTACGAAGTTAAGCCTGAGTTCCAAAACGAAAAGAAAGACTCGTCAACCTTCATCAGATGTTCTTTTCGTGTTCGGGAGCTAAGGCTTAACTTAGTAACTATGTATCATATAGTTAAAAGCCTGCATAAACAAAATTTAAAAAAAAAACGTCTTGATGTTATTTGGCCACTCTACCTTTCTGCCAAATTTCATGTCATTTAGCCCCAAAATGAAGAAATTGAATCCATTTAACGAAATGGCAGAAAAGGAGAAGAAACACGAGGGAAAACAATTATGTTTCACTACGTGATGTGGTAAAGCCATAATAATGACATATAGAACTATAGCTGATGCGAGCAACTTGTTTGATTCCGCCTGCAGGTTTCACGATGGGTATCCCGGACACAGTCATGGGCCTGACGTTAGTTGCCGTCGGAACCAGCGTGCCTGATGCCATCTCTAGCGTCCTGGTGTCGAAGGAAGGTACGGGAAGCAAGGTCTCTTCCGCGCTAAGAATGTGCTAAGACTAAGAGTCCTCAGACTAATTCATACCAGCTATTTGTAAACGCTTAAATATACTCTGCACAAGGCGGCGGCCACAGCATCAGATCTAGAGTGCTACCATGACCTTAGCTTTCGAGGTGGATGACTACTATAGAATGCCAGTTCTGTTGAACCACACCAGATTCTGAGCATGGAGATGTTCTAAGCAATGTATTTCCCCCCTGAACCCTGTCTTGTAGGAGAGGGAGACATGGCGGTGTCGAACGCAGTCGGCAGTAACGTGTTTGACATCCTGGTCGGCCTGGGCGTCCCTTGGTTCTTCAAGACGGTAGTGGTCGATACAAACAGGTAATGATAAAGCGCACAAAGTTAGGTTAAGTCTTATCATCATATTGTAGTCCGGCAAGTTTTCTGGCATCAGTTGAAGTGTAACTACCGCCTGGTATACGCAGGTGACACTAAAGAAACACTCGTCTGTTGAGTCCTGATACGGAACAGGACTAGGCTCTACCAGGTAGGTGTGTGTGTGTGTGTGTGTGTGTGTGTGTGCGCGCGCGTGTGTGTGTGTGTGTGTGTGTGTGCGTGTGTGTGTGTGTGTGTGTGTGTGTGTGTGCGCGCCGCGTGTGTGTGTGTGTGTGTGTGTGTGCGTCTGTGTGTGTGTGTGTGTGTTTGTATGTGTGCGTGCGTGTGTGTACAAACGTTACGGTATAAATGTACACAGAGGACGTAGAACCAGGCTTGAGGCCTTGCCCTGTGTCATACAAAATGGTGTAGCCAGTAAACCCTCACAGCAGCTGTCAAAACTCACACACGTACTCCCCGTCTCTCCCCGACAGCGTGGTGTACATCCAAAGCGGCGGTCTGGTGTACTCTGCTGTCACCCTGCTGTCCACGGTGCTGGTCCTGCTGTTCATCATGTGGCTGAACCGCTGGCGGCTGGACAGGGAGCTGGGGGTCATCTGCAGCTGTCTGTACGCTGTCTTCCTCACTCTGGGAATCCTGTACGAACTCGGTGTGTTCGGAATTTCGACCTGCCTGCTAGCCTAAGCTGGAAAATGAACGCTGTTGCGAATTACTACTTCCATCGGGGGATGCCGGTTCTGAGTCAAACTTCCGTCAGATATTTTACATCAGTTGGGTCTCTGCTGATGAGACAATTTGCAAACTTCCAACCACCCAAAGAAGGTCTATGAATCTCGTGTTGAATGTCAGCATGAAAAGCAAACAACAACTAAGCAGCAGTCACGAGGTGCGAGTGAATCGGGACAACTTGTGGGAGTGCAGTAAATATTCAGATAATTGTGATCAATTCTTCTCTTTTCTCGAAGTTCTTGTTTAATTTCACTATTTCTTTGACTAATTCTACAGAGAAGGAAAGGGGGGAACTATTTCTACGGGTTTGATGTTCACGATTTTTTATGTCCAACGTAAGACCTTCTCCTAGCATTTATGATGATCGTAAGTGTTCGTGTTTGTCAGTTATGACTTTGATTTACTAACAACGTGTACAGAAAAGGAGACATTGTGAATGAAACTTCTCACATCAGTAACTACAATGCAAGGTGCAATTCAACTTTATGTCGAAAGGAGCGCAAGGGACAACTTGGCTCAAGTGATCAACTTAGTGAACCTTTAGTACATTCTAACATTCACGGTTAGCTGTCTCTATGGTGTTGATTTATGTCATTTAGATATTTGTATCTTATACATGAAACTGTTTTGTATCTTATACATGAAACTGTTGTAACATATTTCCGAAATAAAGTTATTCCATATCTTAGTCCATATCGTGTGTTTTGTCTGTTCACGAGTCGTTGTCAGAAAGACATGACTCGATTCTTTGTTTGTTTGTTTATTTGCTTGTTTGTTTGTTTGTTTGATTTCGATCCCCACTAGTCTTACAATTAATCTAACACTATTCTTAGTGTAGTCCGCAACAATATAATACAGCAAATAAAATAAAAGAAAAGAAAAGAACAAGACAGTTACGATTAATCATTAGTAGACAGAAAATTAACAAAATCAATTGATTATTAAGATGGAAAACGCAGGCGCAGACGAACGATATTATCCAGTTGTGCCAGGGTCACGTGACAGGCGTGGCTTCCCCACATTAGTCAGTCATGAGTGCTCATCAAACCGGCACAATCATATCATCGTCCCGTCATGTCATGTGGCTTTCTCCGGCACACGGCTTCATTCATTATTCATGGCTGGTACAGTGTCATCTGTCTCCCTTAACAACACCGCTGGCCTCATGTGACACGGAAATAGATAATGCCATACCCATGCAGACCGGCACTCCTCCTCTTTGGGTAATGCGTTTAGCTGATACTTTCCACACATCACTGTTGTTGATATCCAGAAGGATGTGCTGTGTCTCCACCGTATGGGAACTTCAGCTGCAGACTACATCATGAGATCTTGTGGTGTTTCTTAAGATACAAAGGTGAGACATCATTGTGCCTGGGGTGCTTGAATATTTTATAGGAACCAGGTATTACATACAACTGCCTCTAGATTAGAGATACCATCTTACTCCAGCTCATCAATGCCCAAAGAGCAAGAGCAAGTGATAGAACTTAAGAAGGGGTGTAGTGCTGCTGTATCAATACATGTGTTTTTTACCGCATGGTGTATAACACACTAATGAGCAATACGTATCCATTTTTACAACCGTAACAATGGTCGATAATCTATTAATGTGCCGAGGGTATGGTTGGAAGGGGTATAGGTACTGCTTCATGAGAACCCCCCCAGTAATGCAGCCACTGACTCTCGGAGGTCAGCCACTTAGCATAGTTACACAAGCAAAGTTACTTGGTTTGCACATACGCTCTGACCTACGGTGGTCTGATCAAGTTGACGCCATGGTGTCCAAGGGCAGTAGAAGGTTATACTTATTAAGTAGGCTGCGTCGAGCTGGCCTCCCAAGCTCTGACCTTGTCACAGTGTATTGTGGGTATATTCGACCAATAGTTGAATATGCCACGCCCTGTTGGAATGCGGGTATCACAAAAAAACAATCTGACAGCATAGAAAAAATCCAGAAAAGGGCATGCAGAATCATGCTGGGTAGAAGCTATCACTCGTATTCCGAGGCCCTGTCAACTCTTGACCTCCAACGTCTGTCTGAACGGAGACTGACCCTGTGCCGGGCCTTTGCCCTTTCAGCCACTAGGTCTAGGCACGCCCCCTGGCTACCCCCAGTTAGTAACCACTCACACAACATGCAGCTAAGGCAAACACGGCGCTACAAACCACCCATTGGGACAAAAAGATATTTATGCAGTCCTGTCCCCACAATGCTGAACATACTGAATAACCTTGCCATACAGTAGATTTCATTTTATGTTGTTGCACATGATGTAATTGTACTTTTTTATTATTGTCAGTTGTACCTAAGTAATTTGCCAACAGAAGTTGTATGATGTAATTTTAGCATAAATGTGTATTATTCTAGCGTATAAGTGGTGTTTAATGCCTCTCAAGGCACTTTTTATGGTATATATATTATGTATTAGTCATGTAATTTTTTAAAAATTTGTAAAAGCTTCTCAATTCAGCCTTTGGCTGCAAAAAGCTTCTAACCTACTGTACTATGTATGTATGAAGTATGTGTTTCTGCAAATAAACCAGTCTATATCCCCCCTCATAGGTTGTATACTACACAAAGGGAAACATAATGTAACACTATGTTATGTTAACACTATTATGTAATGTTAACACTATTAACGAATATTCATTTCTGTAGGTGTATTCGACGTTTGTTCAATGTCCTCGCGTAACAAAGGATGGTCTATTGGCCTCAACTCTTCAGAGGAGCACGGAGAGAAAGATGCGCGCTTCTATTTCCGACTTCGCACGGACCGTGCCCGACAGGCCAGCACTATAGTCGCTCACCATCGATACGAACCCAACAAGTGGGTCCACTTGGCCGCATCCTACAATGGACAGCGTATGAAATTGTATATCAATGGTGCAAAAGTTGGCGTCAGTTTGGAGCAGAAAGGAAGTCTCTTCAGCAGAACCTCTAGCAAGTGTAAGAACTGGAATCGGAGGTGATCTTGCTATTCGCAACTTTTTTCGTAGGTAAATCTCGACAACTTTCTGCTGTGGTC